TAAAGGTTATGTTGAATGATGTACTACATTAAATGAAGTGGCTTGTTTTGTGTTGCTGAAATGGTAGATGTGGCAGTTGGATAAGCATTACTTTCAACTCAAGAACCTGAAATACAGCTTCGTGTCACCATTATCATGTAGCTTAACACACCGATTAATAGTGATAATGGCAGTAGTAGTGACTGAAAAGGAAAAGATGAATTCTGATTTTAATGAACCTTTCAACAAAAAGAAGACACAAAAAATTGAAGCAACACTTAAGACATCTGGGCAGATTAACACGCTACACATAATCAGCGTATAATAACAATAGCACTGAGTTCAAACTGAGCTTTGGTATTACAGAAATGTCTCTTAACAGTGTTCATCTAATTCTACAGAGGGCTGGGGAAAGCTAAACCTGCCTCTCTCTGAGGATTCATTTTTCTCGGTAGCTAAGGATGCTATAGTACATGGAACCAAATTCAGAAATTTGTACAGAATTTCAAGCTTGTTACTGAAATTATTTTTTCCCAAAATTAAAGTTACAAATAGATTTTTAGGCTTTTCGTAGTTTTGTCTTCTGACTGTATTTAAATGCAGGCTATTTAAAATTAATCTGAAAAGCAAACTAATTCCAGAGACATTAATGTTTTCCTTAGCCTTCAAATTTTTGGCTATGACTGCCTGTAAGTAATTGTATTTGAGATATACAAGAGATAAACAGGATCTAGACTGTAATCTTTCCTCGGTGTTTCTTCTTAGCAAAGATGTATTTAAATCAGGCTGATACTAGTTGGCACGTTCAACAAAATAGCCCGTTTAAAATGGCTAGAATAATTGTTACAGAACATATTTCAAGGACAGAACTTTTTAAGTAAATGAAAAACTGAAACTTTTGGATTATGTTTACTTAAAATGTTCTGCTATAGCACACAGGAAGCAGATAATCTGAACACTTGTGCTGCTTTTTTATTTTCAGAGATGCCACTGCTAAGTTATCAAAATTGATAACCAGTTGATGTCTCACCTTTTTACCACATGTGAAAACCATAAGTTGAGCACAGAATGGTGTATCTTTCTGTGTGGAAGTAGATATTGGTTCTGTGCTCTTTAAAAAATGATTTGTGGTGGTATTGCAGTTGCTAAATATTTGGATTAGATTTCATTGCTAGAGACTGACCACACCACTGCTCTCCTCTGGTCTCTTTCCACCTGATTAACAGACAGAAGGCACAGTAGCATCTCGAAAGCTTATTTTTTTAATTGAAGGGAAGCTGCAAAGCTTCTTTATCCAAAGTTGGAGAGGCACAATCCAGCACTGCAGATGATCAAATTAATGTGAAAAGGCCACAAGTGTTAATAGGTGGTTTATTTTTCAACAGTGAATGTTATCGCCGTGTCGAGCTTTTGCGTAACCGCCAGGACGAGATGAAGGAGAAGCTAAAGGAAGCCATGAGATTAAGAGCAACACAAGAGAAAGAGGATGAGGATATTGGTAGTGAAGATGAAGAAGAACTGCAGGATTTGCTGTCTCAAGACTGGCGGGTGAAAGGGGCTTTGTTGTAGCATTTCTGCAACATGGTTGATACTCTTTTTATCTGTAATGTTACTTCCATTGTTAGAAGTGAGACACGTTTGTTAAATATTTATTTAAAGAGGACTGTGAGATGCTACAGAGCCAAGTGTTTAAAAAAAAAAAAATCTTTGTAGATCTAAGTGGTGTATTACTTGTTGTAAAAACTTTACATTGCAAATGTTTTACAATATTGAATGCACCTTTCCTATTACAATTACTGGTTTCTTACCAGAAGTATTTTAGTGGGATTAGTAAGTCTATAAGGAATCTCTAAGGTTTTGGAAGCATTAGCTAAATTTGGTAATTTTGAGACTTGGCTTATTGTGTATAGAAGTAAAGGATTTGAGTAGTCTACAGAGTTTATCCAGACTGGGGGGTTAGGGAAAGGAAAATATTATACATTTAAGTTTTCTGAAAATTTTTAAGTGCTCTTCTGTCCATTGCCCCAGCTCCCAATAAAATATGTACCTTTTTTTTCAGGATATGTTACATTTTCTCTGTATATATAAAAGACTAGCTCAGAAATGCTGAGCTACAGCTTCTCCACGGTATATACTCTGTGATGTGCCACAGGCAGTGTTGAATATTTTTCTTTATAGTATCCTGTTTTCTTAGTGCAGCCGTCCTGTAACATACCTCACATTTCTTGAACCAGAGGGATGAGAATACAGTGGTTACGTATCTGCATAACTAAATGAAAGGGCGACAAAAAAGGGCGACAAAATGCACTGGACACTGGGGAGGTAAAATAATTTCTCTAGCTGTAAATACTGACAGTTTTGTTCAAATATTGTCTTAGGCACAGAGAACACCTAAAATTGATTTCTGTTCTGATAAACACAGATTAAGTAAAATGAAGAACCGGCAAACTTGACAAGACTGGGACATGAAAACCAGACCTACCTTAAGCATTGGTAAGTGTTGCTTTTTTATTTTCATTTTTTTAATGAAGCAAATCTTAAAACATTTCAAATTTGCTGAGCACTTGGAAAAAATAGGAAAGACATGTGGCTTGATTTATATCAAAAAATAAAGTTGTGAAGGAGCAGTTCAACATTTTCCTTTAAGATTCTAGTTTCAAAACTGGATTTTAAAGGGAGAAAACAAGCTTTACTCTTATGAGTAAATTCTCATTACTTGTCTCAGAGATGTTTCTGAACCAAGCAATAAAGATTAAAACTGAAGTTAGATATTTGATTTGCCTGTTTTGGAGGAAAGATGTGACATGGTGGGAGCCCTTTCCATATAGTGATAGAGATGCTTTTTTATCACTCCCGATTTCCATGATGCTTGGGTTCAGCTCTTTATATTTATAAAGCTGTCAAAATTCAAGCAATGGTCCTTAGCAGTTTATTGCATCCATTTATTCCTGCTCACATGTGCTGGATTACTGCCATTGGCTTTTGGTTGATTTAATAACCCTAAGTGTAAGTAGCTGTTGTTGCTAAAATGTTTGATGAAACACTACAGTCTTACATGAATTAGTACTGTCATTAAAATACCAGTATTCAGAGAGTACTGAAATACAGAATAAGCATTCAGAGAATATTGGAATAAATAATGAATGTTTGGACAAGTTGGAGAAAACTCAGTTGGACCAAAACTGAAATACAATTATTTTTTATAACATGAAACACTTGAATATTGATGTCTAAGGTGCTGCTGTGCTGCAGTGAAAGATCTCTAGATCCATTTATCACTGTAAAGAGAATTTAGAGCTGAGAGGGTGCTACAGTCTTTAAGAGATGGACAGTCTTTTTCAAAACAAAACGAAAGACAGACCCCCACTTTCCCTCTGAGACGAGCTAAGCTCAGTTTCAAACTGTTCTATTTATATTTGCTTTTCATTGACCCCATTCACCAAAGCATCCTAGCTTGTTAACACTGAACTTTAGAACCACTCTGCCTTTGGCTTAACATCAGAGAAACAGGATGTGATTAATGTCAGATTACACTGAGCATCACGGACATATATGTTTTGACAGTATAAAAATGTTAATCTCTTGAGTTTATAACTGACATCTCTTTTTTGTACATTTTCCTATAATTTTACTTTCATCTTGTACATGAACCTGCAAATTGTGGTTTTACTTGCAGATGAACAGAAAATGAACTGAGCATCAAAACAGTTCAGCTGCCCTCATCTTTAGGGATATCTTGTGGTAACAAGCTAAAGGCAGGGAGTTTAGTTACAGAGCATGGAGCTTGTACTTTGAAATCCAAACCAGTGCAGCCCATTGTTATTATTAGAAAGAGATGGCAGGAATAAACACCAGATCACTCATCATTCTATTCATTATCCGTGCACAACTTGTTGAAAGAGTAAAGATGATGGACCGGCCAGTGGGTGCATGCATTGCTGAGGAAGTGACAGCATTGGTCCCTCTTGGTTGCTTCTTGTTTAGGGGTTAACGCTCTTTTCCTTGGGGAAATCTCAGATCTACAAATAGTGTTGTATCCAAGTTTTGCCCAGCTTACTGCTGTGTACGGCACGTGGAACAAAGCTCTTAGAGAGCTTTGTGAAGATGATGGGAGTGCCCTTTGTGACCACTGATGTACGCGTGCTGTTATGTTAAGAAGGCAAGAAATCATCCACCTTTTTAGCAATGCAAGTACCATGGCCATAAAGGAGAAGAGGGATGTATCCTAACCCTACGCAGTAGTCAAGATAATTTATCAAGGTAAATAATCTCCCGTGTCTTAGAGAAACGTAGGCATAATTAGTTTATAATCTAAATATACCTTCAGCTTTAGAAAACAATTTTATGTACTTCTGATGAGCTATTCAGCTAGACTGATTATTAATCAGAGAAAGTAATTGTTTTAAAAATGTGTACTTCCTTAATTTCTTTCTCATTTCTTAACTTTGTTGAATTCTATTTTTAAACAATAAAGATTAAAGTAGTCCTAATAACTAGCTTTGTCCATAAAATAGCTTTGTCTATTAAAAATGAAATTTTAATTGGAATTGACAAAACTATTTTAATTCTCTGATCTCCAGGACTTCCAGAACACTGAAGAATCAGAATTAAGTGGGAAGGCGCTTAACATTTGTAGTCCTTATTTATTGATGATAATAATGGAGAGCGTTGCCCAAACTTAAGAACTGTGGAATTTCATGCCACCAAAGAGGAGCTGAGGTTCCCCAGCTCAGTGGTTGTGAAACTGGTAAGTGCCTTGCACAGGGCCGGGATGTGTGTGCCTGTAGGTGCGTGAATGTGTGAAATGGAGTTCCAAAGTAGCAGCTCTGCAGGCGCAGCTGCCCCAGCCACAGCTGCCACCTGCTCGTGGCCAGCTCTTCTCTGGCAGGTGAGTGCAGTCGGTCACAAATGGTAATTGGTGTGCTGCCTTCTCTCCTGCCCTGGAAGAAATAAGCTGCTGCTGCTCTCATGACTTAAAAGGAGATGTGGGAAAAGGTCTGTATTTGGAAAACAGATTGTGGAAAAAGGCCAAAAGCGACCGTGCAGAAACAACCAAACCCAAGTAACAACAAACCAAACAGTGTTCTCATTTGCTAACATGATTGTTATTCCTCTGCCATGGAATTTAATTTTAAAATTTGCTTCAGAATTGCAAATACTGATTAAAAAGAACACCAACATTAGCTTTTGCCAGGCCACCTGCCAATAATTTCAATTCAGTGAGAGACAGACTTTGCTTATTTCATGCCACTATAATTAGATTCTCTGCATTTTATCATCTTTAGAATACTGAGCTGGAAATAGCTCTGAGAAGTCATATTCAAATATTTTAAAATATGTCACTATTTTCTGATTTTTTTTCTTATAATTCAGAAATTTTGCACTAGAAAATCAGACATTCAGCCTGTAGAAATCATGTTGTTGCCATTAGAAACCTTAATGTGAGTATATAATGCTAAAGAAATCCCCTTTTGTGAGGTACCATCAAATGAATTTGACACTTCACTTTCATTTCAGTTACTGTCTTAATACGCATGCCAGTCTGTAGAGTGGCAGGACACAGGCACTGATGCAGAGACTGCTTTAATCAACATTCCTGCATTCCTTCCTAGAACCAAGGAACTGATCAAGTATACTTCAGTGCCAGGAAGGGCAGTGTGTACTTATATCCCTAGAAAGAAGTCTTGCTCAGGCCAAGAGTTGGAAATTTCAGGTGTGAAGCAGTTTTTCAGTATCTGCCTTCATCTGATCTTCTGTTCATCGCTTCAGTTACAACTATCCTGGCCTGATAGCTGGGAAAAGAAATGCGAGCATTTCCTCTGTGCAGACATCTAAAACAAGGTCTTTTTTCCAAAAATACAGTGGAGGGACTAATGCCTTGCACAACTGGTGGTTACAGCAGTTTCAGAGGATACAAGAGATCTCTGTTCAAATCCCTCCTTTCAGCGTTGTCCTTTGAACACCTACGTTGTGTGACCTAGTTGAGCAGTCTAACAATTCCAGTCTTTCCTGTAGAAGCTGTGCTGCTGTAAAAATGACTGAATTAGTGAGCGTATGTGACTTTCTTGTTAGATAATCATGGCACTCACCCAAGATGGGGAAGGTCCTGTTCCAAGTGCATAAACAGAGCTGAAATACAGTCAGCTGGTACTGAGGCTGTGGAAGAAACTGGGTTTGGATCTTCCCCATCTCTGAGAAGCACTCTTTTTTTCATGCTGTTGGGTATTTAAAAATGAAAGCAACGGCAGTGTTTCCATTTTTGCCTGGTTTGGGTGGGAAAGGGTCAGCGCATGCTTTAACACTGTCTTGTGAAACCTGACAAAACACCACCTTGTCCATGCAGCCTTCTGAAGCTGAGGCACTTACCAGGTGCCTGCATTGGTGGCACCAGTAAGATTTATGCTGTTAGCTTCCTAGGAGCTTTGACTGGCACAAATATGAACCTTGGGGCCCACAGACACCCTCTGGCTATGCCTGAGAACAGAAAGCACTCTGTGTATTAGCAATTGACTAACTTTGTTTGTTTTCCCTCTGGTTGACTGTTCCAGCCAGCATTCATAATTTCAATTTTTTGTCACTCGAGAAACACAACAGAGCTGCTTGAATTCATTTGAGATGTTTCCAGAAACCTAATAGCTATTTGATGATGCAAAAGCTGCAGAACTTGTGCTGTCTTTCATCTGGAAACTCTCAGTTGTGTGGGCAGTGACCTTTTCACATTGGGTACATGATTCCTCTTTTCTACCTCTGGCATGAGTGGTTTAGATTTCTGTCTTGGGTAGTACTATTTTTTACATTTTTTTACCCTTCCAGACGTACCTTGTGTTTTGTTTGCCCGGTTTATATATTAAAGCTATTCAGGAGCTTTTTCGTGCCATAAAATAATGAAATTATTAATTCTTGCCACTAATTCTTGCCACTAAAATAATGAAATTAAAATGAGCCTGGAGTTTATCGCACTTGTGCCTGTATTTTTTTTGCAAAAACCCTCCTAAAAGACTTCTTCCTTTGTCCTTTTGCCTCTCTTCGTTCCATACACAAACGTGCCCCTGCATTAGTTTGTTTAAATCTCAGCCTTTTCTAGCCAGTTCTGCAAGGCACACGTGAATTATTAATGGGAAAGATACTACACACCACAGAGCTGCTGCTGCCCTTTGCCTGGCAGCTTTACTGAGAGAGCAAAGGCTTGACCCACTTAGTGTTGAGCTGCAATAATGTGGTGGTTTTTTTTTTTTTTCCCCATTTACACTAGCCAGGCTAGCCATAGAAATAGCTTTTGCTCTTGAGGAAATGAAGACTGTGGAGGTCTCTGCTGTAAAAGCAGCTTCAGCTCTCCTTTCAAGAGTAGGAAGTTAAATATATCCTAAGTAGTATAAATATATTTTAAGTAATAATAACAGAGTTTTATCAAGGTTAGTACTACAGCCTATAGTTCTTCTAACCTAAGGGTTGAAATAGCTAATTGTCAACATTGGGTGAGGCTTCCTGGATGCTAGGGTGCAATGACCCCCTCTGTAATCTTCCTTGGCAGCCTTCGTTGTCAAGAATTGCTCTGTGGCTGCATCTGCATTCGAAAAGCTGTTGACTTCTACAGATCTCCCAAGTCTGTATGCACATCTTGGTCATACAGTTCCAGGCTCAGACTCAAGACCCAGACCCTTTAGAGCTGTCTCTATCCTGGAGACCATGTAAAATAATAGTGGTATGCCCCACAAGTTCAGCTGGGGCGTGGAAGGGAAGTGGGACCCCAAACTAAATTCCCAGAAGCAAGTAGAGACCTTAATAGATGGAGGTTGTAGAATCAGGCTCACGTCATTAAGGATGCTACTCACTTGCACTGTCAGAAAACTCTGCTTTTCTCATGAGGAATAGAGCAAGCAGTAAACGTGGAAGTACTGCCAGTGCCCTAAGAGGAGACGTGGCCACGGAGTGCAGCCAGAGGTGCTGGATTGCAGCAGCAGCTCGGGACCAGCCCCTTTCTTTCGCTTGTGTGTGAAGAGAGAACTTGAGGCTGTGACTGCAGTGCTTCAACAGATCTAAAGGAGAACTGAGCTGCTCAAGCAGGGCAGAATGAGACAGTCCCCTGGCCTGCTCAGCTCTCCATTCTCTCTCTTCTAATGCAAATTGCCATACTCCTCCCAGCTGCTGGGCTAGTTTCCTGGCAGGATGGAAGGTGCTCTCTAGAAGCCTCACTCTACAATGCTGCTGGGAATGGGAAAGAAGGAAGGGTCTTAGCAATGCTGTAGTCAGTACCCAAGGTCATTCTTTTGTTCTTGTTTTTCTTTACCCAGTATTTGATCTCTAAATCAGTTTGGGAAAACACCGGAGATACAAACCAGAGGCTGCTTGTAACAAGAAGCCAAATTTGTATTTTCTGTTCACTGTGATAGGTTCTCAAAAGAGCAACTTTGTTAAAAACCAAATAAAGCTTTCCATAAATACTGCTTACTGTACTAATTACACAATCTGGCTCCATCTACTCCTGAAAAGCCTCATCATCCCTGACAAGGGGCTAACATCCTTTCTAAGGTTGCCAGTTTTGCACAGGTGTTACACTCTTTCCCAATGAGCAGTGGGACCTTAAGCGTGATGATATGAAACGTTTAATCATTAATGAAAACAAGCAATTTGTCTGTGATCTTAGTTTGACAATCCATAAAATAGTGCTTCTTAAATGACAAATTAGCAACTCGGTTACAAAGAACAAAATTTAAACAACACAACAGTTGTATGCACAAAGCTACCACGTCTTTTTTTTTTTTTTCTTTTTTTAATCAGGAAAAAAATTTATTTATAAAAACGTCTCATTTAATTTACTGTCAAGTCTCTAGCTGAATACAGTGGCTTAGAACACTAACGGCCCATGCTTTTATACAGATTAGCCAAAGCATGAACATCAATAAAAATTAACCCCCAAAAATAACTTGTCTTTGCTTTATGTTATGAGCCACAACGGAGTTAAAACTGGAACAGTAATGAAAGCAACACAAGAGTTAGGAAGCACAGTTGCTTAAAGAGTAAGGAAGTATTTTCTTTTGATGTCTCAGAATAATAAGAAAGTTAGAAATGGCAGAAACTCCTCTGTAGATTAGTCCATAGAAAGCATTGTCTCATGGGGCTTTGGAAAAGTCCTGTCTGGTGGCTAATGCACTAGGGCATGAAGAGATACATTACAGAGCCCCCAGGCCAGTAACTTCTGAAGACAGCCTAAAATGTAGGAACAAAAATGAAGAAAAAAAAAAAAAAAAAAAAAGGCAAAAAAAAAAAAAAAGAAAAAAAAAGAAAAAAATCTTCTCACTATTAAAAAAATACCACTTGAGTACAACCAGCATAGAACAGCATTTCAGTGCAGGCAAGTTTTCTGACACAGGTTGGTGGTTTGTTTTTTCTTAAATGTCAATTACTGAAACAGTTACAATAGCCCAGAACAATTTTACAGCAGTTTTCTAGAGCTTTTGAATAGCTGTGGTACCTTGACATCATTATTTCCAGGTTTTCCTTCATTATATACAACCAAAAAAAAAAAAAAAGGCCCCAAACAAACAAAAAACAAAACAAAAAACCCCAACAAAACCAACCAAAAACCCCATTTGGTTAAGTGCAAACTGTAACAATGGCAGTTCTACAAATGGTTACAGTGACAAAACTTAGTGCAAAGGTGCTAAGGTGAAGAAAAGCCCACAAAATACAGAAATGACACAAAATACTGAGATAGTACTTAGCCCTATACAATAACACACTTTGAAATACCATGTTTTAAAAAGTATTGCATTTGCATTGTGTTTTTAGTTTATATTAAAATGCACTGAATACAGTTCAATTGTTAAAGCTTTGTGTCCAAGGAGTGCAAAGTGGATGAACATGGCAGGCTAATAGGATTCTGGATTTGGAAGTGGTGAGGAAAACAATATTGCATTACTGAGTTATGCAACAGAAATTAAAAGGAAGGTGGATGGACAAACAGAAAATGAGGTTAAGAACTAATTCCAACAGCTAGCAACCAGCCACTCCATCTCCCAGCTCTCTTGGCTTTGGTTGCAATTAGGTGTCTGGAATCTGAACATCCTTAAGTTCCTGTTAAAGGGATGTTATCTGTCCAAGCAGCAACTTCTGAATGAGGTTTGATAAGCACTACATCATTTTCATGATTACAGTACAACCTGACTGTGTGACTGGTGGTGAGTTAAGACAGGGATGTCTTTTGTACAGAAACCTAACAACAAAAAAAAAAAGGTAATTTTGGCTGAATAAAATATACATGGGAGGAGGTACCAGAATAGTGACTGCATATCTGATTTGCATCTGCTCTTACGTACTTACAAAAATAAGTACTTTGTTGGAACATATAAAACCTCCGACCGCAAAACAAGGAGGCTGCTCTCCTTCCCACTCTCCGTCCCTAAAGCTGAGTTCTTAAAAATTATGTTTTTCCAAAGCAGAGAAAAATTGTTGCACCCTTTAAAAGAACGAAGTGGAAAGGCACAGGTGCCTGCTATTTTTTTCCTTGTTGTTTTCCAATCATTTTAATTTAACAGTTTTTGTCAGACCAGAAAGCTTAATCTGTACTCTTTTTTTTCCTTTTTTTGGTACGCAGAAGTACCTGAGGTTTGGTACTTTGTAGCCTCCCTCTCCTGCTCGCAGGCAGGTCTCAGGGCAGGGGGGCAGGGGTTTTCAAGCCTACTGGAAGCAGCAGGACGATTGAGGGGGCCAGCAGCACTTCATGTGGGATTTCAGGGTGCCAGTGATCATTAGAAGTGCCAGATTTTCAGGTCCTAGCGATAGAAAAATTCATCAGAGGTGCCACTTTGCTATAAGGAACTGTTCTGGAGTTGGAGGGATCCCTGCAAATAAGTGTATTTACATGCCGAGCAGTATTGCTGGAGCAGAACCCGGCTGTCAAAATTTTGCCTCATTCATGTTTTTTTTCCTGTCTCTTCCACGTTTCTCCTTGCTGGGGTGGGGGCAACCCTGCCTGGCTGTGGGGCTGCCGCTCTGCCAGAGGGACAGCGCAGGGGGAGGAGGAGCCCGGGCTGGTGTCTGCTCGCTGTTGGAACTAGTTGGTAGGTGGTGCCTGGGTGTTAGTTATAGTTATGGAGAGCGGAAGACGACTTGAGTCGGCAACAGTTAACACTAGCAAATCTAACAGAAAATAAAAGATGCCGTATTGTTTCCTTGATAACTAGGATCTACCACAGACTCTTGGTAGAGCTGGCAAAGCTTGCACTGTGTGTCTCATCCCTTCAATATGGAGCAAACTTCTGGCGGTCAGATTTCTTAACCCCGCTCGTCGAAGGAATTTTGGCAGTGTAAGCGGACAAACTCCCCGTGGCCCCCGCGGCGGCCGCGGCATTTAGTGCCAGGAGTGGGACAGTTTTCATGCCAAGCAGACTGGAGACAGGAACGGCATAGTGGGTGGTTGGCAGAGTTGGTAGGGGAGGGGGGGTACTGACGGTAACGGCGGAGGCGGCCGCCAGCACGGCCATGGAGGTGGGGGTGGAGGTAGGGGTGGCAGACTGAGAGAGGTTCATGTTGAGGTCAACAGGGGTCGTGACGGAAGCGGTCTGGGTGCTGACTTTAGCCATCTCTAAGCTGCAAACGAAGAGAGGAAGAGGAACAAACAGGTTGGGAGGGTTCAGCCAGGGCGGAGGGGCCGGGAGGAGGAAAAGAGGAGGAGGAGGAGGGAAGGAGAGAAGGAGGGAGGGAAGGACAGCAACCACGAAAGGGTAGGATTAGATCGGTGGACGAGGGGGACAGACGAGTGGGAGGGAGAAGGGGGAGAGAGAGAAAAAAAGGGAAAATGAGGGTCAAAGGAGGAACATGTTATGTGTTAAAGAAGAGAAATAACAAAAGGGTTTTCCATGATTCGATGGTGAAAACATTACTGAGACTCTAAAGTTCTTTTGGAACAGGAAAAAAAAAAAAAAAAGGAGGGTGTGGGGGGTTGCTAGTTCATTTTACGCATGAAAAAAGAAATCTAAGGAATGCAGGTAATGGCAAAAAGATGGAAAAAACGAAACTTAAAAGAAAACTTAAAATAACTATGAAGTTTACTCCCCAGCACTGATATGGTGAATTTTGCTTTTCATAATTAGGGTATTTTTGAAAGGGGGACGCGGGGGGTTTTGGTAATTTTTTCAATTTGTCAGTTTTGTGACATAAATAGTACCCTTTGTCATTTTGACTAGGATGAGAGGAGGCTGAGCAACAATTTGCTGCTTCCATTTAAGGCATAAAGTTTTTGTTGGGGTTTTTTTTTGGTTTTTTTTTTAAGCAAGTTAGTTTTTCATTTCATTCACTGTGAGGTCAGTGTGCATTTTTCATATAAAACAAACCAGATTAGCCAGTGTGTTCACTTTGGTTTGTACTTCCCCCAGACTTTTTTTTATATCACAACAAAATATTTATGCAATTTAATTATAAGTTAATTAGTAAAAAAGGAACACTGAAAAACACCCCGGCTTCCACAGCAGTGGTATCCTTTCTGAGCTTGTGGCAGTGGTTACAGTGAACATGAAGAAGCTTACCAGCTGACAGACAAGGTACTACATGGATACAACATACACATCCTCAGACAGACCCCGACAGCACAAGGCAGTTCAAGACTGACCCAACCTCCGAGCCCAAGGCAGCGATGGGCTCTTTTTGGAGGGTGTAGGTATTAAACCACCTTCACTTCAGCCTAACTCCACCCATCAGCAGGTGAGATGAGTTTGACCCACGTACTCCTGCTTTCATATACATTTTTAGACATTATTTCCAAGGACGCATCATTTTTTCTTCAGATGACAAAATGTTTGCCTAAATAAATCCTCCCTTTGCTGTTTGTTTGTTGCAGCTTGTGCACTGGCTTTTGGGTCAGCAAATAACGTTAAGTGCTAATTTCAGGATGCATTTTGCAGGTGACCAGCTGTGAGCTGTGGCAGCCTAGCATATAAATAGGACTATGGGTTACGAAATCTTTGCTAGCTACAGTTACATGCGTATTCCTATTAAGTTTGGGGTTTTCTTTTTGGTAATTACTAACTTGTCAGACTCCTGGGGTTTCTCCTTAGGTGTTCTGAGGAGCTGCAGAAGCTCCTCCCCTCCAGAGCGGAGTGCTGGCTGTCTGTGCAGAGGACCTGCTGCTTTCTTACCAAACCACATCAGGCCCCATTGAGGCTTCCCAGCATTGGGTTTGTGCTGGTCCCTGTTGGGGACTGGGTGTGCAGGCCTGCACAGCAGCTGTGGCCAGGCTACAGCCTGGGAGGGGAGCATGATCACCCTACACAGGGCTCGGAAGAGCCTCGCTTTTCCTCACCTTAGACTTAACACGCAGTTTTGAGAGTAACAGCCCCTGGGCTACTGACAGCCAGAGAGGTTCATGCAAGGAGGCAAGCGATCAACCAGTGCTACACAGGGAATGGGGACATGGGACTAGAGCTTCCCAAAGCACTGCTGCTGAGGGCAAGTCTAAAGGATTCTTGGAGCGGGTCTGAGCTGGAGAGAGGAAAACGGAGAAGAGAGGGAGAGTTTAAGCACTGAGCTCCTTCTTTCTGGTGAAAGAGGGCTCTTGGAGTATTAACTCCTCGGTGGCTTTTGCTGGCAAGTTTGAGGGCGCGCATTAGCTGAGAGGAGCTGGGAGGGGAGGAGGGTGAGTGCATGAAATGCAGACTGCTTTGTGGGAGGTAAAGTTTTTATTTTACTCCCCGGTGGTCTTTATCTGTCCCCATGGATGAGCAACTCAGAATTTTTCCAACCCTTGCAGCAGAGTTGTTCTTTGCAGAGAGAAGAGCATCTTTGTGCTGTCAGCACATGCTACTTGCAGTCTACTCAGACTGAGGGATTTACATCAAGACCACTGAATCATTGAATCCAACTCCAGTGTACATCCCTGACTTGGGGGTGTAGGAGTTATATGTGATACCCTGTATGTTTTGAAAAACTCAGTTTATATGGTTGGATTTTTTAATATGACTCAGCATTATTCTGGGAGGGAGGCATACAGAAAGATAATGCAGGACTCAGTGTTTCAGTGACTCCAAATTTACCTACTGTGCATATAACAGAAACAAAAAAAATCCTTACTGATATGGGTAGGTGTTTGAACCTGAGATTTTTTTACCTGCACCAGCAGGAAGAATAGATCCCACAGGCCAAATGCTGGTGTTGGCAGCAGCCATTCAAAATCCCTGTCTCTGGTGTACTCACACAGGTACGACTGTAGCAGTAATTTGCCCTGCTTCCCATTTGTTACTGGAAACATAAGGGCAACACATAAGGGGAAAGTTCATCAGGTTAACTATCAGTTGTTCCCATGGCAGAGGCAGTTTCCCAAACCAGTTCTGGATGCAACAAAATTAAATGCGAAAGTGGATGAGGCAGCCTTCATACAAAATTTCATGGTGCCAATTTTACACTGTCCCTTTGAAGAGCTACACTTTCTGAATATATACACTGAAGGCCACATCCTGCATCACCCCAAACTGTTGAAAAGAACAGAGCTCAGGTGTGGCTTTGGCAGTCCTATTAGCTCTATGAATTAACCCCTTGACAAAAGGGCAGCAAAAAAATACCTTTCAGGAAACTGCCCTTCAACAAGGAGCAAGTGCTGCTGGCTACAGTTCATTTATAATCCAAAGTCAAGTCTTACACAGCAAAACTAAACTGCAGTTTGTTCTTAATAAAAGCTAGAAGATGGAATTGGGTAGTGAAAATCCAGTTACTACAGTGGAGACCAGTTAAGAGACAGAAGGTTTTACAGGAAATAAGACAGTTCTACTGCAAACAAACTAGGACACATTCTACTCATACAGAGGTCAGAGCTCAGATAATCAACACAGAATCAAAACAATACTTTAGAAATATTTATATCTCTGTCTTGATATTGTATCAATATATTTATATATCTATAATTTAGAGTATACTATGTACATATCCAACACCAGATTGCAATAAAAGTCTTAAAGCAAGTTGATAAATTATTCTATAGATAGCAACTTTGGTTGGAGGATAGTTTAAAGATACAGGCAGAATGTTTCAGGAATACTGTGGATAGATTAGTTTTAGATTTTTTACATCTTATGCTGCTGAAAGACACTGGTTTATGCAGAAATACTGGCCCTGGAAACCAAATTTCCGTAAACGACAGATCTTGTCCAGGAGAAAAAGAAAAAGTCTACCTTACACTGAATGCTTATATGGCTTTTATTTCTTATAATTATTATTTTCCCATACCAGACTATACTTTGGGCAGTACTACACTGTACTCATCTTTTCCCCAGTGCTGTTTTATGCCACCATCTTTAAAAAGAAGGCATCACTTGTGGCAGGTTTAGGACTGACATACACTGAGACACTCTCAGCACACAGAGGCAGCAAAAGCAGCAGCAGCAGCCTGGCTCTGCCCCTCACACATCTGCCTGAGCACCTAAATCCCAGCTAGAGCAAACCTCCCACTTGCCTGACAGTTTCTCAATCCTTCCTCCAGTGCAACTGCCAACTATCACTGCTGCTGTGGTGGCACCTGGCTGGGCAGGAGTGTCTCTTGCGAAAGGACAGATCTGGAACAGTGTCACTTTTTAGAATGAAAAAGCCACCTTAATTTCCTATGTTACCTTACAGCTTAATTTATTATACATTACTTTAAGAGTCTTCATTTACAAATGAAGTCACTTCATCTAAATACAGTTTCAACACATGGTACATAATAATATATGATGGTTTATTGTAGACGATGGTAACAAATGACTTCTATCTAGAAATTTAACAAGAAGAAAATACTTTGTTTCTGGTTTCACAGGGTATTGAGTATCCGTGGTATATGACTGCTGAGAAGCTTTCTTCTTTGCGAAAGTATGTTAAAAGACCTCATTCCACCAAAAGAATCATTAGACAGTAATCAACAGAAGTGTGAGAGTTCACAGGCTTTTCTAAAGTGAGTCAAACAGGTTTGTTCACTAGAGTTTGTCTCTGGTGAGCAGCTCACTGCAACTCCATTAATAAGTGCATTACTTTATTTGCATGCTTTAGCTGTCTTGAAGATCTTAAATTGTTATCTTCCGAGATCCAGATGCATGCCATATGGTGTTTGTGCAACTAAAAATGAAGGGGTCTATTCTCGTCTCGATGTGTGGGGAATCCCTGAACACCAAGAGAAGAACATATCCTTAAGGGTTAAAGGAGGGAACACATTTTTATTTTGATTACAGGGCTTACGGAAGTGACTTATATTTGCTACAAAGAATATAAATCAAAAGAGCTGTAGGTTGTTTTAAGATTCTGGAAACGGCTTATCTTAGTTTCACAGCGCCACCCCTCAATATATATTTCCCTAGGAAGCTGCTTTCAGACTGAATTATAAAAAGTAGTATTTTTGTTTGCTGTAACACAGAGCTGCACAAACATCCTTGTCCTCCACTCCATTTACAGTAGTTTGCACTGGTGCTCTACAGAACTGGGATGGAGAGGAGGTTGGACCACAGGAAGCTGTAGACCTGCTATGACTACAGCCCCCACATAAATCACATGCTTTGTACTACCTTAACAGCAAACATAGTTAAACACAAAGCTTGATTCGTATCAACAGTATTTTTGTGGGGGGAAAAAAAAAAAAAGAAAAAAAGCCATAAAATGCATAGATACTCCCCCTCCCCCACAATATATTGCCTCAGTCCACTGTTTGCAAGTAGATCTATGAGACAGCACTATATCCATTGCACGTTCTCCTCTGGATAATTGCAAATAAAGATGGTATCAATTTTAATATTTTCCTATATAATCATATAAAAACTATTAGAGACTTAAGCCATCATCATGGCTTAGCTGAACAGCCAGTGCTTTCAAAAATTCTGGGATTGAGAAGCGAAGAAGCAGGTAGTCTCACCCTGTCTCATTAGGGAATGCTTCTTACAAATTTGTGGTGCTGTCTCTGAAAAAATAAACCCCATGCCTTTTCAGCAACCAAATGTCACTTTGGTATCAACTCTGAGTGGCAATTTCCACTTGGTAAATTAAATCTGTTTTGCAATATGTTTCACTATATTTGCCATTTAGGACAGTAATATGGGTCTGTGAAAAGTATTTTCTTCTAAAGCATTTATGATTGTCATTTAATGTAATTTATCCGCCTATATTTTAGGTGGATGCTAATATGAGTATTCAGATTTTGCAGCTTTTGTCATTCAGCATGTACCTGGAATTGCACCAGATTAAGCTCCTTTCCATATAAACCAACAGCAAACACAGCATCTAATGATACAGGCTTTACAAACCATTAGGAATTGAGTAATACTATGCAAAATGGACACTGCAAAGCAACTTTCTGGATCTACCCAGGACAGACATTTGCTGGAGAGCAGACAGAGCAACCTCGCAGAAGCATGATCACTTACAAAGCAAACTTACCTTGCATTAATGAGGTACTGTGCTAAGCTGATGTTTGCAGGGGATCCTGTGATTGTAACTTGTCGTTCTGCGGAGCCTTCTGTGGCATTAGCAATCTTGATCTGCGCTCCTGACATCTGCCTGATTTCATTTATCTTACTGCCTTGTCTGCCAATAATGCAGCCTATTAACTGGAGCGGGACAAAGACCGAGATTAGTGCCACAGACACAAGCAAAAACCACTTAACTGCAATCTGTAGTACTGCTAAAAACATGGTTATGAAAAGCTCAGTAGCAAAACAGATTTTTGCTGTGCTGTTTGGAAGGGGTAACTGGTGCAGCCTATTGGCTCTATGGCTTTAGATCCAGCTCTGCTGCTACGTGGTTATTATTAACTCAGTACCAGACTACTTCACTGTCTCCCATGGCAGGAAATGGCAGTGTGCCGTGGTGCTGAGGGAAACAAAACACAGCCCAGCCTGACTTGCCAGTGGCAGCAGCAAGCTGAGAACACCAGCTGGAAGTCAGGCTGACCATCCAAAGCTGCCACATGCACCTCTGTACCCTTCCAGTGCGCTGCTAGTCCTAGACCTCCCTGGGGACATGTGATTCTTGCTTGGCCAGGTACTGTGCCATTAAAGTCAGTGGGATTTACAGCTCTGTAACTGCAGGCAGAAGCAGGCGTAGGAAGAGACCGAAATTTATCTGCTTTCCTTTACAGACACTTACCAAAACTCATATATTGTGAATAAAACTGAGCCTGAGTTGTGCATTGTGTGTGCATGTGTGTACCGGGGAGTTGCTCCTCCAGCAAGTAGGCACTGAGCCAGCAGCTGAGGCTGAGATGTTTTGGTTTCTGTAAGGGTGAGGAGGGGGCTTTTGTTCTGTGTTAAGGAAGGATGGGTGCTGAGAAGCTCAGCAATGGCCAGAATGGGTAGAAAATGGAAACTCTCCTCTACATGCCTGTTGACACTGCACTGTTGCTGCCAGTTTTGCAGACGGATGTACCAAGACGCAGAGATTGCCTTCCCCTCTAACCCTTCCTGCTGCTTCAGGCCCTGACATGTTCCCCCTTCTGGTACTGTAGTACTTGAAGTAACTTGCCAGAAACAGATTCACATTGTCCAGACATTTTATCAAAAGAAGAAAAACCTCCCAACGCAATCCTTGCTTCACACTCAGGGACAAACAGAAAGCCAAAGTGGGTACCTGGGTAGCCGAAACAAAGACCAAGCACAAGAGGAGCAACCACGAGGAGGGGGGGACATGGGGTGGCAGGAAATGCACAGAGGATTTCCCATCCTGTTACAACAGGAGGGCTTAGCTGAGCTTCCTGTCCTTATCCCGAGGACCTGTCTTAGAGTGTGACTGCATGTGCCAGTGCAGAGGACTGATCTGAGCTTCATCAGGAAGCCTCCAGCCTGTCTGTGCACACAAACTGCGCCTGCTGTTGGCAGCACAGGGATCCCTAAGCCTCCGCTTCCTGCCCCTCAGTCTCACTGGCCTCCACGGTCTGCAGGCAGTGAAGGTGATGCAGGATGAGAGAGCAACCGGAGCACAGAGAAGGCACTTGATGGGTCATTCAGGAAGTTGCCACTTGTATGTGCTGGAGGTCCTCCAGTGCCCCCCAGCTTGTAACCCAGGTGGGTCAGTGCAAAGAATTTGCAAACTCCGAGCTGACTTTGAGTTCAGGAGTGAGGATTCAGCCCAGACCAGTAATGGATACTTGTGATGCAAGCACCTGGAAGAAAGGTTTGGTAACCTTCTGTCTGAAGCTCTCCAAAGTCATGCTTTGTTGCTGTGACACCAGGCTGCTTAAACAAACTCTGCAAGCCATGACACAACCTGCAGTTCATGCAGAATACGCTACTCCATTGGCCATGCAGGAAGGACAGTTGTTCTGGGGGTCTCTCTGGGGTGCCTTTCCCATTACATGTTACTTACACTGCAATTTGTGTAGTACCTGAATATTCAAGAGCTGATGTGTCCTTGAAGAAGTTCAAGGGACTGGTTTTCATCTAAAAACCTCTGATCAATCAGTCCATGAACATTTGGTTTTACATAAAAACACCTGCCTAGCCTTGCTTTGAGATAAAACCATGTCAAATTGCATCCAAACACCTATCTCTGGCACATGTGGGAGAGGAGCCAAACCTGCTGTAGAATTTACCAATTACACTATAGTATAATACTACATTTACTAATACAGTAATCAGTGGCACAGGGTCTGGTTGGAGGCCTGTCACTAGTGGTGTTCCCCAGGGTTCAATACTGGGCCCAGTGTTAACTTACTCATCAATGACAGATGAAGAGGCAGATCCCTCCTCAGCAAGTTCACTGTTGACACAAAGCTGGGAGGAGTGGCTGATACCTCAGAGGTATCAGGGTATCTCCAACCTTGATAGGTTGGAGAGGTGAGCAGAGAGGAACCTTCTGAAATTCAACAAAGACAAGTGCAGGGTCCTGCACCTGGGTAAGAATAACTCCAGGCAGTACAGGCTGGGGGCTGACCTGCTGAGAAGGACCTGGGGGTCCTGGTGGACAACAAGCTGTCCGTGAGCCAGCTGTGTGCCCTGGGGGCCAAGAAGGCCAATGGTATCCTGGGGTGCATTAGCAAGAGCATTGCCAGCAGGTTGAGGGAGGTGATCCTGCCCCTCTGCTCTGCCCCTACTGAGGCCACATCTGGAGTGCTGTGTTGAGTCCTGGGCTCCTCAGCACAACAGACATGGAGCTCCTGGAGAAGGTCCAGAGGAGGGCCACAAAGACGATTATGGGGAAAGCTGAGGGAGCTGAGCCTGTTTGTCCTTGAGAAGAGACAACTGAGAGGGGATCTCATCAGTGTCTAGAGGTATCTGAAAAAGGGGGGCCAAGAGGATGGAACCAGGCTCTTCTTGGTGGTGCCAAGCAATAGGATGAGGCAATGGGCAGAAACTGATGCACAGAAAATTCCACCTCAACATGAGGAAGAACTTCTTTACTGCGTGGGTGACAGAGCGGCTGTGGAATCTCCCTGAGTGGAAATATTCAAGAACTGCCTGGACACAGTCTTGTGCCATGTGCTCTGGGATGACCCTGCTTGAGCAGGGAGGTTGGACCAGATGACCCACTGTGGTCCTTTCCAACCTGACCCATTCTGTGATTCTGTGAATGCATATACTATAAATATAATAATATACACACACACCATATACACACACGTATACCCATATGTATTTTAACTTTCTCAAGAAGTGAGTGGAAGAGCTCAGATCAGATGTGCACCCAGCCCAGCAGCCTGTGGCAGTAGCACACCCTTACAAAAAAAGAAGATGGAACAAGTGTGAGGTATAAAACAAAGTTACCACTGGTATTCCAAATTCCTACCTAAGGCTTACATACCTGAGCTAGCACCTGGTATCTCTCTCTGCCTTTATGCTCCATAGTCCATGTGTCTGACAATTTCTTTGTGAACTTATTTCTCCTTTTGCTGCCCAAGGGCCACGACAGTGACCTGCAGAGCTTGCTTGTGTCTTGCAAGTATCACCTTTGTTGGCACAACTCAGAATTTCAGCTGATGTACTCTCCTTCTTGGACTGTCAACACCAGATATAAATGGTTTCCTTTTCACTTCACTTACCACTTCCATCTGTCTTCCCCTACCCTCAGTTTCTCCTCATGCCAAAAAAACTCCAAACCAACCAACAGTAAAACAGAGGTTCCACTTTTTACCCTTTTCTAGTTTTACTCTGTCCTTCAGTAGTGTTCTGCTGGTACCAGTGCAAACTGGACTGAATCAGGAGTCTGGCTTCTTAACGGGTGGGACTCAAAAGTCTGCTGTGATTCATCTCAAACTCTTGATCCTGACATTTTCTCCCAATATGCTATGTCATCTCCGGTTCATGTCCCTCTCTTCCTTTTTTTTTTCTTCTCCACAATGGTAAATACAAATGCTAAATATATATATATATGTATCTTTTCTGTAATGTTCAAGAACTGACAGAGCCTAATAATAACAGTCTAATGCTGCAGAACACTGACTGCCACAGGAAGTGGCATGGAGATCCCTTTCTTTTTAAATACTGGTAAAAAAAGCCTTTTGCCTTTCTTATAATGTAGTGCTTGTAAAAAGGGCCAAGAATTAGCCTCTGCAACTTGGTATCTGCTGTCTGGAGCAGCTGACCATACCTGTCCACAGGTACACATGGTTTCCCTTGGTTCTCCTCTTCCAACACAGAACAAGTCCATTTGCTTTGGCAAAGCCTCTTCACTAGCTGAGCATCATCAGTGAGACTCTTCAATCACTTTTCAGAAAGCTATCTATACAAACTTTCTTAGCTTCAGGTTTTAGTTGTTTTGTTTTGTGGTTTTTTTAATTAGAAAGTCTGGGGCATAGTACTCTATAGGGAGAAATAATCTCCTGAGATTTAATTACAGTTCTTTATAGACTTAGAGCAGGGCCTGGAAAAACATGCTTAAATACTCTGTACCTCTTAAAAACAAAACAATAATAATGATAAGAAATGTCACTTTCCTTGCTAGGATAATGCAAAATCTGGATTATAATAATTTCACAGACTTTGCAAGAAGACATACAGAAAACTGAGAACCCGTGTTCAGAAATGAGCCTTCTTATTACTGGGTTTTATAACCCAATATTTGGTGCTGCAGATTTGTGTACATTTCAATTTATTGAGGGCCCAACACCAGTTTCCATCCCATTCCCTAAAGTGAGCAGTAGGTGGTTCTGGGGAAATTACTTTCAATGCTAAATAGTGCCTTATCCCATAAATGGTTGCACTTTGCCCCTGATACATATTAAGTCTGCAAAATCATTCTACTGATTCTTGAGCTCATTCGGACAGGTCTACTTGAGGAATCCAATGCCATTTTCTTAGATTAAGGGGAGATGCAAATCAGGCCATGTGCAAACATACAAAAAATTACAAAACCTATCCTCATAAACATTACTAACTGACAGAATCTGGTTAATTCTGTATTTATTCTCTGAGCATTATTTCTCTACTACATGGGAAGCCGTCAGCAGTAACGATAAATTTATTGAGGTTGAATCCAGAAATCCCTTGCCTTCAGTAGAAGTGCTCTGACTTGCACTACTGCAGAATCTTTCCTGGCACATCTTGTGTGGATTATTAAGTCTTCGCCTAGCCACTGATTTTAAATCCTCTCATAAAACTCTCATAAATCCTCTCAAAAAAGTTTCGGAGCCAGCATCTTAGTTTTGTAAGAACGTGGCACTTGTTCTCAGGACTTTTCTGGAAGAGGGCTGTAGGGAGGGCTGCATTTTTCCCATAACATGCTGGCACAGTGGGTGGCCCCGCTGGAAGTCACAGCTAGGGTTGGATGCTGCCCTAATGTTGTCCTTTGTGCCCATTCTCCCCATTACAGGCAGGGAACTGGGGATCTGCAAAGATGAGAGCTCAGTCCTTCAGGGACTGCTGGTGGAAGAGGCAGTGCCACATACTGCCTGTGGAGCTGATACTGGGTATCACTGTGCACGGTTCCAAGAAAATTTTGCTCTTGTGGGTCCTCCCTTTGTTATTTGCAGGGAAGTATTTAAGGCACTATGGTGAAATAGAGGCAGTTCTTCAAATGTGCCATATCCAGCTTGGATAAACTGGCATTTCTGTCTATGGAATACTGATCTTAAAATTTCTTGTTGCTTTCTGAGGGGTAAGTTGCTTTCCCGTTACTTGTCCCTGCCTCTCCCACATATAATATGCAAAATATGCCCAATTTTTAATGAGACACATTGATTAATTTTTATTGGATTGTTCATGTACTGTCAATGGGCATTTTGGAAAACTGAATCATGAAACCTTAAGACATCTGTTATCTGTGTCCAATCCCCTACAACCATGGATGCAATTTCTTCCATTCTTTTAAGGACCTGCCACTGTTAGCGCCACTTTTTTCTGGGATTTAGGTGAACCACACTTATATTGAGTAACTTGGGTAGAAGTGACAGGACAATCAAGATCCCAGCAAGGAAAGAAAGGCAACCAAATGGCCCTGTAAGAGGTTTCGATGAGCAAAAGGATATACTAGGTAAGGATCAAAGTGACTTCTGAGAGGGTCCAAGAGAAATGTCCTTTCTGTTCTCTTTTTGGAGTTACGCAGAAGTTATGAAAAAACCTAGAAAGTCAAATCTTCTGAATTCATTATTTGGAGAGGAAGCCTCAGCTTTCAGCATGTGGAAAATAACCTTCTGTAGAACACTTTTTTAAAAAATTCTCCAGAATCTCTTTGCTATCAAGCAACAGGTTGGCTGCAACTGTCAGCATACTGTTGTTACAGAAATTATTAATAACATAAAAAAAACTTTCTGTCACATCCTTAATGCCAGAGGGAATGAGGAAAATTTATTTTAATATGAAGCTAGGTAATTTGTAAATGGCTATTAATATCTATTTGCTGTAGACTAGGCTAAACTCTCAGCTCCTTATTCTCAGTGAGGCTTTGGCTTTATGTGCTTATCATTATAGTGGTTTTAAAGAGTGTGTTGTAGCCCACGTAGATATACACTGACTTCTCTGGTATCTGCATGCATTTGCAAGTCTCGTGTTGTTTTTATGTGTGCTGGACTTTTGCACACATCAGCACATACAGTAAGAAAGCTGTGGGACTCGTGCAGCACAGGGAATCCCTGGAGGTGGGGCAGGCAGGGGATTGGCCACGGGCAACTTTGGGGCTGCACTGCAGCTCTGTGCCAGGGCCTGCAGCTTCCTTCACCTGCAACCAGATAAATAACCACTGTACCACACTGATGGTCTATCAAAACTGAGACTAGGAGATGCTTACTGGGAAAGCAAGGTCAACTTACCCATGCAGGCTTTGCTGCACAACTGCTGTTGCCCTGATCTCCCTCTTTTGTCCTTTTGAACACTTCCAGGGGTGATGATTCCACCACTTCCCTGGACAGCCTGTTACCATGTTTGACCACCCTTTCAGTGAAGAAATTTTTCCTAATATTCAGCCTAAAACCTCTCCTGGCACAACCTGAGGCCATTTTACCTTTTCCTATAATTTCTTACTTGGGAAGTTAGTACTTCCACACCTTTCTTTCAAGTAGTTGTAGAGAGCAATGAGGTCCCTCCTGAGGCTCCTCTCTCCAGGCTAAACAATCCCAGCTCACTCAACAGCTCCTCATGGGACTTGTGCTCAGACCCTTCACCTTCCTTGCCCTTCTCTGGACATGCTCCAGCACCTTCAATGTCTTCCCTGAACTGAAGGACCCCAAAACTCAACACAGGATTCAAGGTGTGGCCTCACCAGTGCCGAGTACAGGGGGACAATCACTGCCCTGGTCCTGCTGGCCACACCATTTCTGATACAAATAAATACATTTTTGGCACTGGGCTGCCTGGAGAGCAGCCTTACTGCAGCAGTGATGGGGACATGGGACACTAGTATAGATGGGAGACCCCAGGGAAGGTACTCTCTTGCTGCTGCAGCCCAAGCACGGATCGGCGAGACACCTCTGACAGGCTGGGGCACAGGCAGAGTAAATGCCTTGGGAAAATGCACAGGGAAACTGTTTTTCCCCCTGCAAAATTCCCAAGCAGCTCCAAATGCCTGATGGGACATGGGAGCCTGTTCTCCCCTCTGTGCTGGCACTGCAACACTGAGTGTGCACACACAGACACAGAGCGCTGGTGGGCAGCACTAATGCCCTTCAATCCTTTAATGCACACCTTGGCACCGCAGGAACATCAGAACTCCCTCTCACCACCTGCGGAGCCCGTGCAGGCTGCTTCCAAGCCTAACCCCATTTTGGCCTTGACTTTGCTCCTTTAGCAACAACAGCAAGACACGCACTGCATAGCCATAAAAATCTTCTGTCAGAAGCAACGCGTGGATGTGTGTTTGCTTTTCACTGACAGTGCTGAGCTGGGGAATTTCACACCTCCTGCATGAGAAACTGATGGGTTTTTAAAATTTTCTACTCCACTACAGGACCCAAGGACAACTTCCTCCTTATCTTTCTCCGCTATGAACCCCGAAAGAGTGACCTTGGGTTTATATCTCTGATGGCAAGAACAAGATCTGCCTGAAAGCGAGATTAAAAAAACTTGCACTGTAAGGACAAACAAGGTGCTCCTATAAAATTCTCAACATACAATAAATTGGGTTGTAAAGCAGGTACTGATAAATGGCATCTTTTAAGTAACAGAAAGCTTATGAAGTCACAGCACTCGCACCTTCGCTTCTTTGTTATTCTGTATCTTTTTCTTACTGTAAATCATTGCCACTGAGTTTAATAGGGCTTGCACAATATTGTAAGTATCTCCTTAAGTAGTATAATTGCTATTTGTATTCCCACTTATGCTTGAAAGCTTTCTTTACTGGAGGGGAAAACTTCCATTTTCCAAGTGACTCATTTGCAATGAAAACTGAAAAAAAACCCCAACCCTGTCTGCAATCAAACTGAGTAATAGGGGAAGGTATTTTTATGTGGCACGCAGTGTATCAGCTGGGCATTCTGAGTAGCTGTTTTAAGATTCAGCACCATGCTGCTCATGGACACTGGGCCTGCTGATCACAGACAGCCCAGTAGCTGAAGCAGGAGTGTTTCTAACCCTTGTTTTTTTCAAATAACCCTCTATATTGGACCTTCACACAACGGAATTAGCTTTTTTACAGAGTGAAAATGCTGCCTTGGATAAGTGCAGGTGCAGTGGTGACTGGTACAGAAGAAGCCATTGCGGTGCAAGCTCTCCACCCCCTGGCACAGAGGACTCCAGCCCAACACACAGCATATGGTTCTTCCATGTTCTGCAAGTTCTTCCACCCACTTTAGCCCTTCTGCTGAGACCACCCGTGCCGCTGCCACCCCAGAGATAAGTTTTGGGAACTCATCTAGGAAAGCACCAGGCACCCAGGCTTTAATGAAGCTGGTGAAGCACCCCGGCACCAGCACCATCAGGCAACCAACCCAGCATTGCTGGAGACCTGACACGAGAGGGGACAGTCACTTCTGCTGCTTCCATCCCGCACTTCATGAACCCCTGAGCACCCCCTCCCCAGCCGACTAAATGCTGTACAGTTTACTCTGGGGGCTACTGTTTACAGATCAGCCAAAGATGAGAGGTTTCCCCTCTGGTGGCAGAGGAGCGAGAGAAGAGAAAGAGATACGGACTATTGGTCCACTTACATCATTGGGAATAGTAAGTTCATGGGAACTGGTTGGAGTAGTGGCATCCAGTCCTATTCAGGGGACAGAGGGAAAATGTTACGCCAGCTGTTTGCAAGAAGGGCAAGTCACAACAAATGAAATCTTAAAGAAGAAAACATACAGAAGGAAGGAGAGGAAAAAAAAAAGAGAGAAGAGAGGAGCAAAGAAAAAGAGAACTGCAAGTGAAACAGAAAAGAAAGCAAAGGATGCAAAACTCTGAGGGCTGGACTAATTTTAAATGAGTCTTATTTTAATTAACCTTTAACCCACCAAAGCAACAAATGTCACATGAGATTCCACAGGGTCATAAAAAGCTTCTAGGAAATGAAGGGTTTCCCCTAAAAATAGTCTCCAGATTTTGTTCTAAACACATCAATTGAGAAATTAATGGATGGCTGAAATTTGACCTGTCTACCAGGAGTTCTAGAATATGGAAAATTAAAGTGGATGTCAAATGAACAATTAGCAGAACAAAATACATAGATATGAAAAATAAAAAAATAACAAATTAAAGTAAGGACAAGGAAATTAACCTAGGAGAATTTGGAAATTATATATGTGGGATTAGTTGCTGAAGAAATGTTGGGAAGGGTAATTTTGGAAGGGAAATGGACAAAATACTCTAAGCTGCATACATTTGTTTGTAAATTGGGTGGACAAAGGGAAAGTGCTCAGGAAAAATGGAATTACTGCTCTAACACACAGTAACATTACAGAAACATACATCTCACAAATATAACCAGGAAAAGATTGGGGAGCAGCATGTTAATGACAAGAATAAGGAAAATACAAAGCTAGGAAAGGCAATTTAGTATTATTTGTAGGTATTTTATCAGATACATCATAAAGAAACAAAAGTATATTTTGGATGTCATGTATCTTTCTCTTATTTTCTCTTTTTTTGTGTTTATTGTATTATCTGTAAAGACATGCCAAAACTACTCATTTCCAACTAGAAAAGATGGAAAAGAAATACTCTACAGAAAAGTGACTTGCCTACATTTTACTGATGTTTACATTCAATTACATGAGTTGCATATGCTTATGTCACATTTTACAAAAATATCAGACAAGTTGCTCACAGAATTTGATGTATGTGATAAAATGTTATTTGCCATACAAAGCATGTACCAGTACATGTGCACTTCTGTTCTCTAAGGTTTTTAGGTACCAAGCATGTATGTTGTGAAGCACAGTAAAAACGTTTATTTGCAGGGTTAAGTGACTTCTCACTCTTGAATCAAGAATTCAGCCTCAGCTTTATTAAGCATAGAACAAACTTGTAGTCCTTAGCTAAACTGCCACTGCACTTTGTAGCTCTATCTGTGGTATCTAGTAGGAAGTGGGGCACTTGTCCCAGCAGTGATGATTACAGATGCTCTCAAGACATTTGGCTCTACAGGAGTTCAAGTTTCAGCATGCCATAATTTCTTTAACTGGTATTTCTGTACCATGAATACGTACTGCTTTCCCATGTTCATTTCTTTCTGAGCCATGTTACTAAACTGGACAAGGAGCATGCCCAAGGACTTCTCCTGTAAGCAACTGGTACATACTGTATGGTCCATAATAACTTTATGAGGACTGAACAAAAGAAACTCAGGGCTTTTAGCCAATGGCACAAATGAAGCAGTGGTGATTAATAAAAGTAACAAACAAAGCATGTTTTAGTAGTGATGACAGGAACTGTAACAGAGGTATGGGGGGGGAAGAAGAGAGGTTAATGTATAAAAACAGAAGGATTGCTGGTCATTGACCACATTTATTATTAAAATGATGTAATGACCACGGGAAACAAAGCTGTTAAGAAGAAGGACATCCCCAGGGGGTCATGGGTACGTACCAGGGAAACCAGGGGTGGTCTGCCCAAGGGGAGTAAAGGGGGGATGCTGCATAGCCAACTGGTGAAGCTTGGTCAACTGCAGGGCAGGATGGGAAATTAGAACTAACCAATCAAATGGAATTATTTCAGAGCAGAGAAACCATCTTACGTGTTCTAAAACTGGATTAATTAAAATTATATTGAAAAAAAAAAGGTTTAATAATTCATTCTAGTCTACCGTAGAGAAAAAAAAAAAAAACCAAACTGGTTATAAATGACATCTCTACTGTTATTACATGTAATGGCTATTGTTAATATTAACTAATTACTGTAGAATTACATATTAAAAGAACTCAAATATATCACATGCAAAAAAAGACCAAGATAACTGTCATTTGTTCCTGGGCCATTGTACTTTCTAGCAATTATTACACAAGGTAAGAGATGCAGCTGAGCTAACACTTGGCTATACAGTGTGTTGTTCAGGAAAGGTGTCCTTAGGCCGTGTCTTTATTGCTAACTGTAGAAAGCAAATGCTGCCCAGAACAAATAAGAGAGAGAGGAACAAAAAGGGAGTAATTTACATGTGCTGGACTCACGTCTGGATGAGGGATGGCATACTGCCCCTGAATCGTGAATGCCTGAAAACAAGCACAGTTAAGACACAGGTTAGTCAGGTGGGACAAGCAGCGCTCCTGTTCTCATCAGAAAAGCTTCTCCTGGCCCCTTAGGTAAATGCCACCTGCATCGCTTTCAACACTGAGTGAAGTTTAATTGTCTTGTGCTGCCTGATAACTCTTGGCACAGAACAGAAAGGTCTCTGTCAGGCTGCCCGTGTACCCCTTCCCAGCAGAGGATGCCTAGTGCCACTGCCTGAGCTCTGATCACCTTGACCCTCAGGACCTCAATGCTGAGGACACTCACAGGGTCAAGGAGCACAGGGTGGCCACTTCACCTCCCTGCTACTCCATCTGCCCTGTGACACCAGTGCATTCAGGGAGATGCTGATGCTGAAGCAGCAAGGGGCACAGCAAAGAGGGGGCAGACATGCCCAGGGGATGCCCTGCCCTGCCCTGCAGCTCCTGACTGCCATGTGTGAGCAGGGACACATGCCAGCCAGCTCTGAGCCACCTCCTCTGGCTACTGCAGCCACAGATGCCTGCAAACACGTGCCCTGGGGCACCTCATGGGGCTTGAACCCCAGGCTGCCACGTCAGGGGGTATGAAAGTTCATATGCTGGATGGCAGCACTGTCCTGCACTGCCTGGGCACAGGGCCAGTTTGGAGATAGGAGCATGATGGAGACCCTCAGCATGGTGGTCTTATCTTCCACAAAAAGCCAAATATCCTCCCTCCAAATCCAGCCACTCTGCCCCACAAGAACAGTGCACAGGACATAGTTTCTGGAATCAGTTCTGGCAGCACTGGGGTGAGGTGGGGGAGGCAAAAAAAGCACATGAGAGAGGAGGGATATGACGGCATGCCTGCCACCAGTTAACACAGTCCTTTGTCTCTTCTACTGGTTCTGTTCAGCTCTCTGTAGTTGCCTACAAAGTACGGAGAGTTTATGATTTTCTATTGTATCTGAAAGGTATGGCGTGCCAGAAAAATTTTAATGTGCTTGTGCTTAGACAGGCAGGAAAGCAAAAGGACAAATTATAACATAAATATTTGTAGTGGGAGAATTATAAACAGGAACAGAGCTGATTAGCTTAGTTTGCAAAACGCTTATTTGACAAAAGGCCTCTTAGAAAGTAATGAATCCTCTGCAAATGATCAAACAATTCATTTAATGGAGTTCGGATATTAAAACCTTTTTATGTCTCAACCGCATGATGCACATTTCTGCTGCAGAATTTCCCTTCTGGAGAAGAAACATTTCATTTTGTTTTTAAATTAGTTATAAAGCCAGGCTGTAATCTGGCAAATAGTATGCACATGAGCAGTTTTCAGGCAGAAGTGTGGGCCTCAGTGGGGTGTTCATGGGCAAACATATTCACATGCATCTATGGGGGATGGCCATCAGTGAGGGTTTATGTATCAAAAGACAAGGCTTCCAGTCCACCAAAACAGGTGATCACTGCCATCAGTGGGTCTAAAGGAAGCACGTGTTCAAGCAAACAAAACGTGTTTAACTGTTTTACCAAATGAGGACAACCTGAGAGGGGGCTCTGTGCTTAGCCAAGCACAGGAGCAGCCTCAGGGACGTTACAGCTGGAAATGGCACTGGGTCCATGAGCAGCAGTGTGCTTGGAAACGCTGCTTTGGTGTCTGACCCTCTGTGCTAGATCACAAGTGTCCTTTCTGGTCTCAGCTTTACTTCTAACCCAGCTGAGAGAACATCTTTCACATGGCTGTTTCCCAAGCAGTGGTCCGCAAACCAGCAAGAATCCCTCACAAAGAAATCACCAGTGAACCTACTGAAAGTCATCCCTGATCTCATCATTCTGCTCCCTCATACTTCCATGCACACATACAAGAAAGCAAACAGACTGGAGAAATAACAAAAACATTCAGTGCTTGGACTAGGTTTACTTGGTTGCTTTGGTTCTAAAAGAAAAGCATCACAGCAGCATGGACAAGATGGGTCTTGAATTTTCTTTCCCAGTAAAAAAAAAAAAAAAAAGGGAAAAAAAAGAAAGTTCTTAATTTCTTAGGCTCCCAAAAGGTCATTTGATTGATTTAGGTTGAGAAAAAAGTCTTGGAGAGCTTTACCCCTTGGCAGGGGAACCACATGTTTCTGGGGCTGAGGCAAACTGAGCACAAGCCTAGGAGAGGCTGCTGAGACATCTGTCCTTTAACAATTCACTGAGACACGAGCTATGGATCTGCTTCCATCAAAGTCAAGGGCAACTTTCCTACTGATGTAAGTAACAGCAGGGATGACCTGGTCTTCAAATCTTCCTCAATTTAAACCATAAAACTGCTATGGGACATAAAGCAAAGCTGCACCCTGCGAGTACCCATCTGAACACCAATGTAGCATAAAGGGTAGAAATTTCCAGTTTAACCACTGCATATGTTAAGTATTGGTAAAGGGGCAGAGCAGGGCAGTGCTCAGTTTCCTTTTAATTTTTTTTTATGCAATACAGTATCAAAGAAGCACAAGAGAATTAAAAACAATGCTTAAAGTGGAAGAACCCCAATTTGTTAAAGAAAACAAAATGTTTTATTTTGCTAATGTTGCTTGATATACAAGTATTAAAGAAACCAAAACCTTTTGAGATAGCCATGATGTAATTTAGAACAGAAAAATAACTTCCGGTAATGTAGTTGAAAGGCTGAATGTAATTAGCAGTGCTGATAAAATTTTATTTTCAGTGTTCATTTCCACTTATGAAACATGGTTAAAATGTCTTTCCATACTGATGTCCAAACACACCTTAAGCATTTTCTTAAAAAGTCTCCTTAGCCAGAGCACACAGAAATTCAAAGCACACAGAAAGTGTCTCTTAACACTCTTTCTCACATCGACAAGGCTGCATTCGAAAAGTGAGAACACTCTTTTAACTGATAAAACTGAAGATGACAAGAGCTATTAAGAATGGAAAATAGGACACTTTCAATTATTTATACAAACTGCTTGGAGCACTCTAGCAAACAGTTTCAATACTTCTGAGTAGTCATATACACAGACAGTCTTTGATGGCAGTGGCAATTACAATACTGGTACAATGGGCTGCTGCATACATATACACATATTTTTAAAGGAAAGCACTGCAGTGTAAACATATATATGATGTAAATTATTCTGAACTTTCAGTCATAGACCAATTTCTAGCAAGTTATTTTAAACGTCAACTTTGATCACTAAGGAAGCAGGTTTCTTATTTTGAAGACAACTAGGAGTGGCAGGTTTGAACACAAGGAAAGATACTACATCCAGGTTACAAAATCTGCATATACATCACAACGTACCCTTACAGACTAGAAAGTAAAACTCTGATATAAAAAAATTCAGAGAAAGCTCATAATAAAGGCTTGTCAGAAGTAATGGCATTTTGGAGTTTGCTTGAGAGGTGCAGGAGCTTCCTTATACAAGCAGACTGTGGTGGCACGAGTCATCATATCAACAAGACCAGCAGCACCTTGTGCCGCCAGCCCCACCAGGAACCCAGTGTCCAGCTTCTCATATGACTTCCAAATTGCCTGGGGTGGGACATGGTCTCTAGGGCTGCTGTCCCAGCAGCTCACAACCCTACAAGAGGACGATGACCTGAGATGGCCTGATGGGATGGGAGGTGGAACCTGCTTGCAGATGTTCCACCATGTAGGTGAGTAACGGGGTAACTGCTTAAAAAGAGGCCTTGACGTCACCATGGGGAAAAGATTTGGCTGGGTGGGGGTGCCTTACTGCCAGAGAGGCTTTACATATGTGAATTCTGTGTAGAGATATGCAGGTCTTCCTTTAGGCTGGGTTTAGGGGAGCAATTTCCCCTTGAGCTGGACAAGGCTTGCAGCATTTCACTGCTCCACCATTGCTCATAGCCTGGTGGCTGTACAGGTCCCCTTGTGAGCCTCCCATGCTGTTCTCAGAGTACTTATCAACTGTGCTCATCACTGGCTTATCAGTGACTACTGCTACATTCCCCCTGCAATGGATGATGGCACAGAAATTTCTCCTACGTCTCAGCCACATGTTGAAGACCTGTTTCAGAGCATTATCAAAAGACAGAAGAATCACATTGCACATGGCTTTCTAAAGGCAGATGAGAACCCTGACTGATATAGCTTAACATGAAGGGGGAATCATCAAAACTTCCTTGTGTAAAAAAAGAAACAAGAACACTGTTCTTATGTTATCAATCAGGCTGTTGCATGCCGTGGTTGGTAAGGTCTACACTTGCATGTAGGTAGTTCCTGCAACCTCAGAACTCCATTTCTACTTGGTCCCAAGCGACTACAAACTGCAGAAACTACATGTGTATCTTTTTACTGCGAAACGCACTATTTGGTCCCAAAAAGTATGAAAACTATGAGACAAAAATTACGCCTTTCATGAGCAGAGTTGTCCTGCTGTTTGATTATCTCTGAAAACTGACAAAACTACTTATACTGCTAGTGGAGCTACAAATTAAGAGTCAAAACCCTGATCTCTACAAGAAGGAGATTTGTCTCACTCAACGAGCATCTGATTTGGACACCTCTCAGTTCAGAGAAGGGTAAACTTTTTCCTAATTATGGAATTCAATTTTAGATCTTGGTAAACAACAGTCATCGCATTTTGCACCAAGTTTGCAATGCAGTGTTCTCCTGTCCTGCAAACTCTAAGCACACAGAGTAGACAAAGCACATCAATACTATACCAGGCAAGAGAGAGTAAAAGTTGAAAACTAACAGGCGCTGGCTGAGGTTGGGCCAAGACGGTGTGGTTTCCAGCTGAAGCCAAAATGGTGTCTGCTCTTACCTGGCCACCTGCAAAAATGATAGGTGCAGAGGCAGGTTTGGGACGGTAGGGGATGGTGGCACCTTTGGGTGGGGACTGTAGACAAAAACACAAAGCAATCAAAATGTAGAATGAAGCAGATTTGTATTAATAAAATCTCTCTTTATCTTGGTCACCTCAGACAACAAGGCATGCAGCTAATCAAGCCCACCCCAGCCCACCCTGCCCTCCACCCCATCAGAACAAAAGAATGCCAGAGGCTTCCTGTCTGGGCTTCGAGGGGGAGAGTCGAGAACCGACTGCACAGCCAGAACAGGCAGTGCCTGACACTTGTGTTTCATTACTGCCACTGTCAGATGAAGCCATGAAGCTTAATTAAGTATGTCAAGGCATTTCAGGAAACATAGGCACAATTTTGAAATTTGTCAGTGTTTTGGAAGAGTCCAGCCTGGTCTCTTGCTTTGCTAACACAGAGCCCATCTCCTGCTTATCAGTCTTTCCCACACTGCTTACACATCAAGGTTTCTTGTTTTACCAACTCAATTAAGTCAGCTATTACATTCCAAATGACCAGCCTGATCCTGCCTTTTGTCTGATCGAGCTGGAAGGCTGGAGAAAATCCTCTCACCTTCAGCAGGAGTATAACCACGGCCTTTGTAATGCATCAAAAGGGGACTTGTTCCCTTTTAGGCAAGAACCCAAAGGGAAAACCCTGGCTGAGGCTAACTTTCTCCTTGTAAGAAAAGCAGGAGCATGTGTCTGTAAAAAAGGCTTCAGGCTGTCTGTGGAACACCTAGCAGAATGGTATCCTGATTTCAGTGTGCTGACTACAACTACAGAAGGTTACAACAATTTGTGAGTCCATTAACTGGTATCATATAATTAGCTACTGCATGTCAAATGAAAGAGCTTGTTGCCAAATTAAATTTATGCTGCAAATTAGAGCACATAGGTGTTCTTAAATGTTTGAAGCAAGTTAAGCCAGTGTCCTCTTTGTGCTGCTTGCTATTCGCCTAACCCTAAAATTAAGCACTCTTCAGTGAAAACTGGCTATTTAAAAAGTGGCTGTACCTGTGGGTAAATAGGATTGTGTCTCTCTGATTTTGAGAAGTGGCTTTTCTCTTCTTTACTAAATAACTCTTTATTCCACCAATGTCACTTAGACAAAAGACTACACTCAGCACTTACAAAGCTGATAACTGTTACCTTCATGTAAAAAGATTTCTAAGAAACTAAAATTATTTCTTAATATTAGTTTCTATTCTCTTGCATTTTTATACAGAAATCCCTTCCTCACAGTAATCCAGCAAAAACTGAAAGAAGAGTCAGTTTTCCCCAGGAAAAAACTGTGGATTTATTAGGTTTTATGCTTTTATTTGCATTTAGGCTATATGACATTTTGATGCAAAGGCTCTATGTCATTTTGATGCACTGCATACTTCTGAACAGGCAGTATCTGTAGTGCTGTCTCAGACACTCCACTGTTTCTCCTTTCTTTAAGGAACAATAAACCAGTAGGGTGTCAGAGGTCACCATGAGGCAGCCCTTGACTAGACTTATGTAAAAAGCAAACCAAACCTAAAAAACACACAAAATTATCCAGTGGAAAATGTGACAAAAAGCAGAGATGTTTCATGTCCCTTGTCAAAAATTACTAGGTCAAAATACTTAATTTTGATTTGGTAATTTTTTTTTTTTTACAAGTTTCCATTTGGTTGAGAAATGTACTTGCATGAAATTATGGGCACTTTCAGCAAGAGGATTTTTACATAAATTAAATTTTGTACCATTTAATCTAAGAGCTAAAAAAACTGCCACCAAAATGAAACATTCTGGCCTTATGCAATGACGAGATGCTAAGGAAAGTCCCGACTAGCTGGAATTATTTCTATTTAAAACAAGACCTAGGTTTTTTCTTCCCTATTCTGCATCAGAATAAAATGCATTTCCCTCAGAAATTTGCAGCTCCGTGCTGGACCTGGTTGTTGTCTGACAATGACATGGCAGCCTCGATCTTTGATTGCTAATCCCCACTGCGAGAGGATCTCAAACACCGGGAAGGGCACAAGTCTAACAGAGCCCTCTGGAAATTCCCAGCACAGGAAGGGCAGGCAGCACCCCAGGGGAGCCCATGGCAACTGAAAATTGTTATGAACACTGTTTTTGAGCACCTCCTGAGCGAGAGGTGAGACGGCAAGCGCTCGCTCACCTCCAGCATCACCACGCATATCTGCTTCACACACTGGATGATGGCATCCGGGGTGCCCGAGATAGTCACGGCGCGCTCCGTCGAGTTCGGTAGCATGTCCCCTGCCACCTGCACCTGGGCTCCTGTGGACTTGAGCAGAGACAGAGCAAAGGCAGTGTCACCACAAGGAAACGGCACCTCTACAAACCCAGTCATTCACCTCTAAACTTTTTGTCTTTTCTTTGCCAGACACGTGGTTAGAGCGTGTATGTAAACTCATCCCCACACGGGGCAGCTGGGGTCTGGCAGGACATGGATTTGCCTGTTCAAGCCAATTTGCCAGCACTCCCATCCTAGGAGGATTAGTCCTCAGCAGCTGCTAATGAATCCAACTGTGACCTGAATTTCAGGACAAGTCTTTTAACCCTTTTGAAGACAGACAGTTGTAATGCTGACTAAAAAATGAAAAAGGTGAAATGAAGTACTTTTCAATAATATAAAAATACCAATAACTGAAGGAGGTTGGGTAATGAAATGAGTCCCAGATAAATGGCTCTTCAATCTATTGATGGCTGACTTGTGTCTCTAGTTGAAATCTGAGGCTGCCTTATGCTGTGTTTCAGGATGGTACAGAACCACTTCTAAATTATAATTAGTGTTGATTAAATATATGCATATCATCAACTTTTAGCTCATTAATGAACCCAAGGAGGTAATGAGCCACTTTTGGTTTTTTTTTTTTTTTTTTTAAATTTTATCTTGGCACTAATGTGTGTTAGTTAACCAAAAAAAAAAAAACCAAAACCAAAAACAAAAACAACAAAAACCAAACCCAGAGAAAGAAAAGAATACTGGAGGTCAAAACAAACCCTGACATTATTTCACAAACATGGAAGACCTTTTCAACTCATACAGAAAAACCCAGGCATTTGATACTGAGTTAGGTCTTTCACATATTCAAAAAAAAGGTCTATTCCTGACTGTCACTCTAATGCAGTATCTGGGGCTTTTAAAAAAAAGTATTTTCCGTAACCACTGACTTCATGTCAGTCAGTAAGGAGTTAATTTGTTTTCCTGCTGGTTACACACAACACATGTTATTCTTCTTTCCAAAGACTGGATTAAATTACTGATTGCATCTTCTGTTCACTACTGCTTTTAAAGGCCAAAATATCAATTCCTTGCTCTGTAATAGGCTTTGGAATTTTGCCATAATTTGATCAATCTTCATGCCTTTCTTTTCTTTTCTTTTTCTTTTTGTAATCTTATCTTGAAAATAGTACTGCAACCCTACATGTTGTTTCTGGATGCACGACTGAACACAAAAGACCATCCCTCGTGGAACTGCCATTCTGTGTGCTGTGTGATGATGAAATTAGACCACATCTTGGGCTGGAAGCTCCTTTTTTTCATTGTTTGATTGTATTTGCATTTCAAGAGACATTTCTGGGTATCTGTACATCTAGCACAAAAGACTGTCAAATACCAGAGATATTTATGCATTTGCTTCCAGTGCCAGTCTCGTTAATTCTATGACTTTGGTCATAAGTGAGTAACGAAAAAAATGAGTAATATTTTGTCCATTATGCTTCAGAAAATGTGCAGTGCGACTTCTTGCTACATTAGCTTTATCAAAACACCTGTGTGGCCAAACACTATCCTTTTACTTCCTTGTACTAGACTAAAGGTAATTGCTTATGACACTATGCTCACCAGGATAAGCACTTCAGTCATTTAATTTACAACAGATCAATCTTACCTTTAAAATCCTGTGTTCTGAATGCATTCTTTCAGTACTCTCAATGGAGTTACCCATACTTAAAATAAAATCCAAGTTGCAAAACCTAGAGCTAAGTATTCACTAGCACATAGTTCACACTCACGCCTGCTCCAATTTTAATACAACTAAAAAAGCTCCATATTTTAATACAACTTAAAGCTCCATAAAACCTACTGTCTTGAATCTACATTTTAGATAAAAAAGGAAGTTTCATCTTGGTAAAGCCTGTCAAAAGTTTTTTTTTTTTTTGACACAGGCAAATAAAAAAAATGGATCAACATGTTACCTTAATATTCAGCACCATCCCTTGTTGGAATGAATACAAACTTAGATGGAATACTGTCACTTTCTTCAGAATAATAATCCACTTTTCTAAAATTCCCTAGTCAGATTTTCTCTCTATAACTAAGCATGTTCCTAATTTTCTTGTACATCTGATTACAAACACCAAATCCTTGGTTTGGCATGTACCATATTGTTACAGTCATGCATGGAAGAATTAAAACTGGCATAGCGTGATACTTTTTGCATTTTTTGATTAGAGGAAAAATTGGTTGTTAGCACATTAAGTGAATACCTTAGCTGAAGTTTGGATTAAAAAAAACACCCAGTATATGTTTGGAATACATGAAACTAGTTTACCTGTGGCACACTAACATGAGGCAAAAACAGAACAGGAGCATGAAAATCCTATTTTTCTAAAAAGTAGGTCTACTAACGTGGATTTCCCAGTGCTACCTGGGCCTTTCTCTGTCTGCAATTGTGGTAACTAATTTGGAAATGGTTGCAACTCTCTGACCTGGATAACCTGAGTATTGCTGGGGAAGGACCTGTGCCTGAAGAGAAACTTGAAGATCCATTTCTGTCACTGTTGCTCTGCTTAACTGTGCATCAAGGACTTTACATATTGTAAAGCTGTTTTTGTATTTCGCACATGGTCTTTAGTGTCAAGGAAAGTTTACAAGGGTCCAGCTGCTGGACCCGCTGCTTCTCCCACAGCAAGGTTTTTAGAGGTTTTTCACTCAGCACATGTTCATGCTGGTGTGATGAGCAAAGCGCAGTGGGTGATGCTGGCAGGGCACACTGCAGTAGGATGATGAGCTAGCCAGTGTCCCCAGCAGACATCCCAAGACCTACTTACCTCCCTGATTTCTTTGATTTTGGAACCTCCTTTTCCTATAAGGGATCCACACTGACTTGCCGGGACGACGAGCCGCAGTGTTACGGGCGGTTTGCTTGTCACCGTGCTGTTCGTCATTGAAGCGTTTATGTCCTGTAATCACAATGTCGGTGAGCATTAGCAGGGGATTTGTCACTCTGGTAAGCACTGAAGGGCTCAGAGAAAATGCCCACAGAGACCTGGGGAGCGTGCAACCAGTCCTAGTTTGTTTTGTGTTGGGTAAAACCACTGGCTCTGCCGGTGATACACCGTAAGCACGAACCACACAAGTGGCTTGTGCCAGAGGAACCCTTCGGCTGTTTGGCATTGCAGGTCCATGCTGTGGGATCAGAGGGCAGGACTACAAGGAGGAGGTGGTGTCTGTCATTAGACCAGCCAAAACCATCAAAAAAAAGGCAAAGAGGCTTTTGTGTTCACAGGCTTCCAAGTCCTGTTTTGGTTTCTTTTTCAACACCTCATTTAGAATGTTTATACTGTATCGTATGCCTTTATATTTCACAGAGTTTCTTCACAGATTTGATACAAAAGAAACAGATTAAAAAAGGGAATGACAATGAACCTGTGAACAATGTGAAGTGGAGAAAATCAGGTTAGTTTGATAAATATTTTGCTGCCCCCTAGATATAATTTCTAATTTGTAGCAGATCTGTAAGCATTTGTAGTGCTACCCAGTTTCAAAATCTTTTCCATCATGGCTATGTAACCAGAGTACAAAATGCTCAGCAGAACAGCAATTGCCTGTATCCAGGTAATCTAACATACATCCATGTATTTCATTATCCAGTGAGACTACACTATACGTTCTCATGAGCATCTCAATATACCACTTGTTGCAAGGTTTAAAGTGTTTTAAATATATTTTGTTTCCTGAAAACCTTCTAGGCAATACAAAACAATGCCTCTAAAGGCTTCATCACAGAGGAAAAGATAAAGCTTATCTTCCCACTGATCAATGGGATGCTGTTAAGGGAACTTAGGTTCACAGAAATAAAAAGCCACAAGCTGCATGGCACCTGTCCAACAACTCCTAAGAATGTCAAAGTGTTTTGGTAACAGTAGCTATGAACTGGAAAGACTGTCTTATCCATCTGTGAGGTGGCATGGCACAGCTATTATACCCTTCACAGAAATGCTACCCAAAAGATTTGGACAGGAATGAGAAAACATGCATTTTGTACTAATTTAATTCATCTGTGATCCAACAAGAGTTCCAGCAGACAGAACTGATATGATTCCCTACATTCTCACTTATCACTTGTTAGAAAAACAAAAAAAAAAGTGCCTGTACTGTGCAATTAGGATGCCAAATTAAAAAAAAAATCCAACAAACTACTTAGTACTTCAAGCAACTCTGCACGTCTCACTGAACCGGTATGGGAGCCCAGTAACACCAGCACTGATCCCTACAGTACCTCCCTAACTCTGATGGCAGCATTCTTCTGTCCAAGAAATGGCTTGGGATGACCTTGCTTAGCTTTAAAGAGAAGAAAAAAAATCTTGCATGGAGTGAAGCACTGCTGCATCTGACAAGACAGGTATCAAATCATTCCTCTGCCAGCCAGCAGTAACTCACATTTTGTTTAGTGCCTGTGTCAGTGAGAGATTGCATTCCAAAATAAAGTGAGAGGGATAACAGAATTTTGCAGCACCCATGTATCTGAAATAAAGGCCAAGTCATGCCGATTTTTCAGCTGGAAGATGCCATCTCACTATATCGTGTTTGTGGCAGGTGCAGGCACATGATCATCCAGATGTAAGTAAATAGTCCTCTTCAGCCACACAGTCACATAACCCTGATAATGTCTCCTACTTCCATATCATCTGTGACCTGGCCTCAAAGCTTTTGCTGCACTTGTTGCTTACAAAAGCACTTTGTAAAAACTGAAAGCCAGTGTTCTCTTTATTTTCTCCTCATCATTTAAAAAGAGCAAAATCTAAACACGCAGGCTCAGCAGTGTGGAACACATAAAGGAGTTATTCCAGCCTAAAAACATGACAAAAGAGAAATGAGCAGAAAAAAATCTCCTTCAGAACCGAAGGCTCGCAAATAGGGCTCTGTGGCACCGCATCCATTTCCTCAGGGCTCTGTCAGACACTAGAGCTGGAACTTGCATGGCTTTCTGCCTGCTTGTTGGGCTGCTCCTCAGCCTGGACAGGCTAACTGGGAGCCTGGAAGTGCTGGGAGTGCCAGCAGAGCTGTACCTGCTGGTCATTCCAGTGCGTAAGTACCATGTGCTTCCAGTGGATTATACACTTAAAAGCAAAGTCAGAGCTGCCCCACTCACCAGTGAAGTTCCAGCTGCATTTTTGGGTCTCAGCCTCCAGTTCAGAAATGACTGTTCTAAAATGTCCTCTCTTGCAATTCCAGTGGTCTGCCTCGGCTAGTGTCATTTTTTAACAACTTTTTCCTTTGCAGTGGATACTTAAGTTAGTTATGTAATTACCTGCTGAGTAATTACCTACTAGTAAATTCATCTAAGACTGCTAGAAAATCACCTTTTATTAGGAAGGTTGTCAAAGCAGAGTGATATAAGGCTGCAGAGCAACCTCAACGAGGACACAACCTTTCTTTTTTTTCTATCTATCTGACACATTTTGAGATTTTTACTAACAGTAGAAAGGCATTCCAAGGCTTCCATGTCGTCCTAGACCTTTCCTTATCCCCAGGTATACAGCTGTAGGGGTTGAAATTAAGGGTCCAAGGGCTTCATGTCAAAATGCGTCACGGGGCATACACAACAAATACAAAAAAAAAATTCCTCAAAGCAGCAGTCTCACACATGCACCTTTTATTTTCTGTTTGAATGTAGATGCAACAGCCCAAACTGGACTGAATTTTTTAAATGGTTGAAGAAATCTCCAACAAAAAGAGATGCATGAAAAATAGCATTTAGTAGCTAGCTTATTTGTAATTTCTGAAACTACTTTGTTTTGCCTCCAGAGTGTTACAGTTATCTCATTTTATTGACAGGAAGATTTACAGGAAACCTAACTGATTATATGAGGCATATTTCTTTATTGCTGTTCTTTTAAATGTACCACAAACCAATTATGTTAAAACTAAATACAGATATTTCAAAACCTATAATGGCAGTACTTGATTTGCAAGGAGTGCCAATATTTCTTTGCTCATATGAAGAGTCCAGACTACCCTCTAAAATCTGCTAGTGCAAATATGCATAAAATTCATCCAGATGCCTGAATTTCAGATTTCTTCTCCTACTGTTAGCTACAGCACTTTCAAAGACTACATCGCGTCGGGTGGTAGGCTGGGGATCTTATGCTGTGCAGTGTTTGATGTTTTTATAAAAAATGCAGCATTATTTCCACTGGGTACTCATTTTGATGGGAACTGGCGAGGATTATCAGTGTTAATGATTCCCTCAGCACCTTTCAGGATGAGGCCGTATGCAGAACACATTTTTTGTGTAGAGAGCAGAGAGATGGCTCTCTCCAGGACTCTGTGGACTGGAGGGTATGGTACACAGAGCTACCTCTTTAGCTAGAAGAAACAGGGATTGGTTCAAGATGGGTAAGAGATGAGAAAGAGATGACAACAGGTGGTATCAAAACTGGGTTAGACAGAATTACTTGTGTGGTTCTGCAGGATTCAACCTCAAAATCATTATTATTTCATTAATAACAGGCAAGAAAAACAAATTAGCGTTCTTGTAAAATGTGCCATGTCACAAAACCAAGATATTTTATCAACATGTTGAAAGATTGGGATATCACACAGGAAGATCTGAAAAACCACGAAGGATTGAAGAAATATAAATAGGATTAACATTTGTAGTATTAAAAAAAAAAAGGTCCTTTGTCTGGGGACTGACAGGAGCATTTGCCAAGACTGAAGAGGTGAAAACACCCAAGCAGGAGCTGGGGATACCCACTAGGCACATGGCTGTGTGCAAGGCATTACACTAGTAAGAGGCGAGGCATTTCCAGCAGTGGTATGGATGTGTTATCACGATAACTAGGATGGGGCACTGTTAGTCCAATCAAATAAGCCTTTGCGGAACTTGATTTGCAACCTGTCCACAATTAATGCACATATTTAACACAAACTGTACCTCGAAATAGGTAGAGAGGGACTAGTACAGTCACGGGAGGCGTGGGGAATGTGAGGGGATAAAATCAGTTTCTAAAAACACTTCCAAGAGGGGAATCCTCAGGGATGGAAAAGCAAGAATTATTTATACCAGTGGCCAATGCTGGCACAGAAACAAAGCTGCATAAGCTGTTCATGAAAAAATTCAGGTGAGGAGTGAAAAGAAGGTGTCAGATTATGAAAGACCTGAAGTCGTGGACCTAGGATCAGGAGGTAGTAAAAATTCCAACTAGTTTTCCATCATGTTGTGAAGCTGCAAGTTGCAAGACATATGGCTTACGCTAGACAACAACTGCATCTGGTGACCTATAAACTCTCCTCCGTTGCTCTAAACATGAGCAATCACCATGGGTAAATAAAGGTACATGTTGACATTTCTCATCAATGTCAGCATCTTCCAGTGCTGTGGGGAGATGTGGAGACTAGCCTCACTGATTTGGACAAATAAATACTCTCAAGAAAGGGATTAACATCCCTTTAGTTTAAACCTTTCTGGAGAGACACAGCCCCCTTCTTCTGCTGTAGGTGATTCAGTCCACCTGTCTGCAGGCTTGTCCTTCAGGAAAAGGTGAACTGCTTTCTGCAAGAGCATCTGTCTCTCCAGAAATGACAGGAGAGATGCCTGGACTAGACATATGATTTTCAAAAGTAGAGGGAATTAAATCCTCTCCAGAGTGACCAGGGTTCATGTTCTGGTACGCTACCGTCTTTTCTGTTAGGTTCCTGATTAAAGATCTCAGCACTTTAGGTATGTATCTACACAGAACAATTATTCTACAGTGAACTGAGCTCTTGCCTTACTTTCTCTTATTGCCTTTATTTTAATTGATTTTAAAGGCCAAGCTTTAAATACGGTAATTGGTTATCATATAGTTTGTTTTTAAAGTAAAAAATTTTTTTGTTAAATGAGTTATATATTCATTTTGACCTATCTAAAATTTACATCAATACCAAGTGGGTTTACATAAAAACAGAGTTAAAAATTAGGCAATTATTCTTTTCAAATCAAACCCACAATGGGACTAAAATTTTTACAAGACATTTTTCCTACCATTAGTGCACATTACTAAAAGCAATTGCTGTTCCCTGAAGCCTCCAAAAAGCAAAAGAAATGATCAAACAGCTTGTAAATTGACCCATTATTTTTCTTCAGCATTGATGCTAAAAGCATTTATAAAAATACAACCACTTCCATTGCTATTAAATAGAACAATAAACAAATCCTATTTAACATTAAAACAAACATGAGAAAATTCAAACAGTGTTTGTATTTCAACTTGAAGAGAGATACCCCTCCCCCCCCCATATTTTATTTGCTTACCTCTTCAAATTTTAGTGCAATCATAGAAAAAGCTTTAAAAATTGCATCTGTTGGGCCTGTTATTGTCACAATTCTCTCTGGACAAGTGCCTTCTGAAATATTGATTCGAGCACCACTCTGTCAAAAGGAACAAATATTTTTCAAAGTTATACTTCCCAGGGAGCAAACTAAGCAGGATTAGAGATATAGTTTGGGAAGGAATATCTTGAGGCATCTAATTCCCTCCCCTACAACTGCAGCCCCAACATCATATAATTTCAGCATAAACTGATCCCATTTCAAAAATTCATCTAACTGCGGGAAGCAGGATCCTGTCAGAGTAAATACTTACACAGCCTTCTTTGCAATATGCAAATCGCACCTCTGTAACTCAGAAGCTGCAAATAATTGCATAATCAAGTCTCTTCCTTCCCTCTTGCAGGATTAACCTTAAGCAGGACTGCAGCTGCAGAATTTAAGACAAGGTGGTTATCTCCAGGGGGCATCAGTATCTCCCAGGAATGATGCACCTCTCTGGTTTCAAGTCTCAGAGGCAGGGCTTGACCTCTCCAGCTGGGGCATTACTTCACACTATGGAGAAGGCTCCATAATTATAGAGGGATGTGTCTCATGTGAAGGCAATCAATCAATACGCACTGATAAGCCTTGGAGACAAGCCACTATGGCTCTCAGGTATACTCAGTCCTCTTTATGCTACTGTGGTAGCACAGAGAAAACCCCTAAATCAGGGGAGGGTATGTATTTGTATTTTGATTTTTATTTATTTTAGAGGATCTTGGTGCAGATAATGATCAAATGCAGTTCAGGTAAGACCCACTCTAAACCCTGAGGTTTCAGGCATGGAAATGTGTTAATGCAGCCTAACAAGTCTCTGGAGCCTCAACTCATCCACAGGCACTGACCCTGGGGATAAGGGCCTGAAGCAAATGTGAGACAACCTAGGTTAATATGGCCCTTTGCCTTCAGGGCCACCATGCAGCACCTGATGTGCTGTGTGTTCCAGACATTGTTCCCACCCTCGCTGCTTCTCTACAGCAAAAGAACATGTTTCCCCATATGACAGCACCCACACACAACAAGAAAAAACAAAGCCCAACACTACTGATAGAAAAATCTTGCTGTCACAGACCTGGGCACAGAACTGAGGTTTTTGTACTTTTCCGTAGGCCTAAAGTTGTCTCTGACATTTCCCCAGTGACAGAGCAAAGACAGAGTTACATTTCATACCATAAAGATGGCATGCAATATGCCACATCTGTCAGGAAAGCCAAAAGAAATGTTGCCTTCTTTCTCTTAAAGAAGTATTGAAGAAAGTAGTCATTTAAAAGGGAACCAAGTTATGATGTGGAGGCATAGCCTCTTAGTCCTGTGCTGATATAAAGATGCTTATAATTCCTTTATTTAAAAAAAAACCAAAAAAATACAGCATCTTTTGACCACAGGTACATGCCAGTAGGTTTCCAGAAGTGGAAAAAGAACATTTCATATTTATCTTGAAAGACAAACCAAGGTTCATAACTCTTCTCTAAGATGTTTAACTCAGAAGCCAGGAACACTCTCCAATTATGGTTTCCCTTCTGTGCATGCAATTTATATCCACAGATATCTGCTCATGATCATAATTAATAATTAAACGAAAATGTGTTTTATCAACTGGCAGGATTACTTAGTATACTGGAAACATTTTTTCTTACTTTTTTTTTTTTTTTTAAGTCTTAGCAAATGTACTTATGTGTGAAAACATGGGTGAAAGCTCTTATTGTCAAAAAAGGAGCTCTGAACTCAGTCAGCCTGACAGTGAAATCCCTATTGTGTATATTTAAGATGGATGTCCGCAATTTCCTTTACTAAAATACTCTGACATTTTCCTGCCACAGACCTTCTATCAGTGGATAAAACAAAAAAGCAGCTGACACAGTAATGTACTGCAGCTTTACCAGAACCAAACTGACTTTTCTTGAGGCATCCTCTATACACTGTACTCCTAAAGTTTTAAGCAGTAGAATTTAGTCTTTTGACTTATACTTTTAACAGTAGCTTCAAAGAAGAAAAATGACACAGATCTCCAGGTAAGATGCGATGCCTTGCAGACCAGTGTGGGTCTGTAACCTCCACCTGAGCATACCCCTCTGAAGACAGCACAGGTTGCTCTGTGGCAGGGAAAGAAGCCTGTGGACACTGGGGAGACTGAGGCTTATGCAGTGCCCTGTTTTAATTAATCTTTTTGTGTCTGCAACCTTTTCAGAGGATGTGAATGGCAGGTGTGCAGGTCTACCCTGACCACATCCTACTCAGAGATACAAACCGAGGAAGAGTTAAGGCTTTGCCAAGACACGGCAGAGGGATGCTCTGGCTTACACAAATCTGTCTCCAGCTCTGCTAAGCTTGTGTCTACCCTCAGAATCGACGTGTATCAGTTTAATGCTTGGTTTCAGATTTTTGGAAACTGTCTAAGAGGAGGCCAAGACACGTGCAGGACCGATGCTGGTATGTTAATGAAAGATACAGTGGGTTTGATGCACAGAATCATGCTGGTAAGCTGCTCCTGAGATAAGGCAGCAGCAGGCATATCGCTGTGGGACTGAAAGACTCCAGACTGCTGCCGCGATAAGGAGGTTACATCAACAACAATGTTTAATTTAGGCCAGCATATTTATACACCACGGCTTGCAAAGAACGGTGATGTTAAATTAACTGCCCACTTGATGGCAGCATCAGTCTGCACATGCTGACTTCCCTTTTCTCTGAGCCGGAAAGAAAGGCAAGTGAAGACATCAAGGCTTGTCTTACCTCCTCTCTCATCTTCTTCACTGTCTCACCTTTCTGTTAAAGAAACAGAAAAAAATGTTAGCCTAGGCTAAAAAAGAGAACTGATATGCAATATTTTGACATGAATATAAATAAAGTAATTTTCTGACCTTTCCGATAATGCTTCCAACCTCCTGAAACGGAAAAAAAAAGACACTGTGAATGATACAATTTGCTGCAGAAGAGCAGCAAGCTCTAGTTTCTAAGATATTTTGCCATCACTTATTTCAAACCTTCAGTGTGAAGCATAGCCCCCTTCCATTGTTCCCGTGTACAAATATGCCATGTTAGATACAAAGGGGTGGACTAAAAATGCAGCTTTGCAGTCAACTGATTGTGCAAGAAAAACACCTTTAACAGAAACTGATCTTGTGGTTACAGATCAATCCTGCTACAATGAAACACAGACAAATCCCTATCAGGTAATGAAAAGTTAAGAAATAACCGAACCGCACAATCTACTAGAGAAAATGAGGTGTAATACAAGCATCAAAATAATTGGTGGTTTCTCCAAGGGCAGGCATTTACCCCCTTTACACCATGTAATAGCTAGAGCTGAATTTCCACGCTACCAAGTGTTATTGTGTAAACACCTGGTGGCCTGTCTTAATCTCCCTATTAGGCACTTACGGAACAATAACTGCTAATCACTTTTTAGGGATTTGGGAATTGCTGCTAGGCTTCTACGATTTTCCCCGAAGGGAAAGAAAATACTGAGAAACGTGGCTGTGAACATACAACAGGGGAACAATGTGGCAGTTCTGGCAACATCCCAAGGGTTAAAAGCTTGGGGAATAAAACCAACAGGTAGCAAAAATGAAACTATTAATTCTAACAGGAGTAGGCTAGACATGTTACACAAATCACGCAGCCGTGACACCAGACCGGAAATCATCTGATGGAGAGACCAGCTAAAGGAAAATAAACTCCTCTCCCATACACAGACTGTGAAATCTACTTCAACCGTTAAAGACTGTCTCAGATGGCTGAGCTGATGCACCATTTCCCCCTGCTCAGTCTATATCCTTAAGTGTGGTTCATCCTAAAACACAGTCCAAAGTGTAAGAGTTTAGAAACTGTCCTCCATTGCTCTATCCAACGATGGACTAGCGATAAAGTGGTACTAACTCCACTCTGCAGTAGAGAACTACCTGCGGTGATGTTAATACTTATTTTTCACCAGTTGCTTGTAAGCTCATGCCATGAAGCTGTTTGTGCTTGCAACTCCTCACATCCTGCTCACAAGATGTAAACACTTCACTGAGAAGAAGTTACCTATCCCAGTGAAGAACCTTGGCATATGGTTTCTTTGCACGATCTGCAAATCTGCACATAACACCAGACTTGGGGAACAGTCAACACATTGCTGGACAAGGCTGCTATCTGGAGTCACCTAGACAGACTGGACAAATGGGCTAAAAGAATCCTCAGGGAATGGAAAAAAGTCAAATGAAAAGTCCCGTGTCTGGGATGGAAAAAGCCCGTGCAGGACAAAAACTTGCTGCCTTAAAACTGGCTTTGCACAAGAAGTCCTGAGAGTCCCAGTGCACAACTCCAACCTGAGTGCATGACTGCATCAGCAGCGCTGCCCTGATCTACCAAAGACTGGGCTGTATTAGCAGGAATGTATCCAGCAGGCTGAGGCAAATGATTCTTGTCTTCTTGTTTCTGTGAGACCATGCCTAGAGGATTGTGTCCTGTTTTGGGCTCCTAATATAAGACAGACAAGGACACACAGAGATAAATCCAATGCAGGGCCACCAAGCTGGTCAGAGGACTGGAGCCCAGGACACACGAGGAGAGGCTAAGAGAACTGCATTTGTTCTTAAGAAGAGAAGACTTGAGGGGAGAGTCTCATTGCAATGTGCAAGAAGGAAAGCACACTACATCAAATTCCTACTCAATATGAGGAAAATATTTTTTACCATGGGAATGGCTGGACATCGAAACAGGTACCCAAAGAAGCTGTGGAATCCTCATCCTTGAAGGTGTCTGAACCCAGCTTGGGCAAGACCTTGAGTAATCTGCTCCAATGGAATCTGCTTGATTCAGGTTGTCAAACTGGAGACCTCTGGGGTCCCTTCCAACCTTCACGGCTCTTCAATCACAGCCTTATACCCATTGAAGTCAGTGCCTTATTTGCCAAAAAATGGCTTAATCCAGTGAGGCCGCTTTTCACGTTTATTTTCAAACTTTACTGTTTCCCATTTCCCTTTTTTATTTCCCTTCCAACTGCTCTTCCAGAATGGCATTCTGCTCTCTTGTACATACTGATCAGAGAACAGATATTGTCCAGACAGGCACTGCAAATCTTCCAGAGGTATCTGGTTTGCCTGTAGTTCTGCAGGCTGATGTACAGTAGACCTTTACACATCACACAGCTGTGTGTGTGTTCTTGCTAAAGTTTCCTGTTTCCATCCGACACTGTGAGACATCTGTACATCTGCACACACAATGCAAAGCAGAAGCTCTGTGAAAATGGGAATGAATGAGGCAGACTCACTGCGGTCTTGTTATCAAATTATCTTAATATTTTATCTTAACATATGGGTTTATATTACATGGCTGAGACAGCCGTACCAGCATAATGTGTAGGCTCTAAAATGAGATGTAGCTTTTTTTGTTAGCAGTGACACAAATCTGTGACACCCATTCCCCCAAATTTTTAAGATCTTACCATTTTTTTACATTATCACTGTAACTCTGCCAATCTGCCTATAATTGTTGATTGGGCTTAAACAATACAGGGAGTGAGGCCTGGGAACTCCCCATGTGTGGCAGTTCCTATCTGCCCACTTAGCATATTCATCAGTTTTACCTTGAAAACTTTTTCCATTCTCTCAGTCCCAGCTTTCAGAAATAATTACTTTCATAAAACAGATTCTTAGGAGGTAGAAGGACCTTTTGCTAGGGGTGAGCATATTGGGTTTCAGTTGCTATGGGCAAGCAACTGTATTTCAGTCCATGGTATAACTTCAGGTTTTGTATACCCAAAGTTTCATTAGAATCTTTAGGCCTGGTCTCGAAGCTGCAAGTTTCTGTCAGTATAAATCTGTCCTAATCCATTTGATCATCTTGGGTCTTAATGAGAGATGCTGTTCTTTCAGAAATGTATGGATGGGTCATGGCTAATAAATACAAAGATATCTTCCTTGGAAATAGGAAAAAATACTTTGCCTTAGAAACAGAAAAGCAATAAACTGTTTGTAGCACTGGTAAAAAAAGACGGTCCATTTCCAACATGGAAATTAGGAGTATTAAAACATGAAAAGTAGAGCACAAAATATTAGGATTTTCAAGCTGCTTGTTCCACTGAATTCTGTGGGAGTTTTGCTATGGATTTCAATGGGGACAGGAATTCTACCTGACTGATTATCACCTCGGTATTTATTAGTGAGTACAAGCTACTGAAGGACTGAGTGAATGAACAGTGTGAACCCCACTGAGAAAAAATATTTCCATAAGACTGGTGACCAGTTCCTTGGAACATGCTAACAAATGTCACTACAATCCTAGGGAGTACTTCAAACCTTCCTCTCCTCAAAGGGCGACTTCAGAGTTTATTCTATAAGCAGGCAATTTCAAAACTTCCAAGCAACAGCCACCTCTCCCTCTACACTGGAAACTGGGATTCTGCTTGGCAACGTGGGGTAAGGTCACAGGGGCACAGAGAAGCACTAACGTTACATGGACATTTCTGATTTTTTTCAGAATTTTGATCCATACAAATAAAAATGCAGAATGGTTTGAAATGGGTCGCTTCAGAATCTTCTGGGGCCTTAGCTGTTTCTAGGAAAGCTCCTAGAAAGTAGTGGTGACAACTACTGGTGATAGTAGTTCATGTCTTCAATTATGACAGGAAACCCATTTCAGCCACAGATTGAATCAAAAGACTCTTTATACCTCACTCTTCAAACTACCAAAGCTACTTCATCAAACCTTTAATGTTTCTTTATATAGTCCAATATTTGTTTCATACAACTTCTTATATCACCTTGAAATAAGTTTACTGCTAAATGAGATACCATTTTTACGACACTCAAGTTTTATCAATATTTCTAGCCAAGGTTATTTTGATGGTTTTATCTTCTTTAGAAAATGTTTCTAAATCTGCCAGGCACCAATGTGCTGTAGTTAACTGCGTAAGATGTATGTCACCTACTCTAGTTCATTACAAGTACACCAGGCAATCATCCTTTTCTGAAGTTCAGGGAGAGAGAGAATGGAGGACATTTTGTTCCTAAAGAATGAAGGGAGAAGCGTACTCCCAAAGGTTTTGGCTTTCTTCACCTGCAGCAGAAGCAGCCTCAACTGACACTAACGTATGCAAAGTTTGGTGAGCGCAATCCTACAGCTGATGTCAAATTCAGTGTCAGTGCAGGTCAGACAGGAGTTTGATTTAGCTGCACTAGCAAATAATTGCCTATTAGAATATACTAATAACTCCCAAACTATTTGCTGCTCTCCAATGCTCAGGAATATAAGCTAATGGTAAGTATTTATGATCAATTTCAGATTTATTTATTGACTAACCATCTACATGTAAGTATAGTAGAAAAATAAGTTATATGACAACAATCGCTGAGATTCATATAATCACATTTCAACAGCAGATCAAAAAGTAGTTCACAAAAAGAAGTTATAAAGGGGGGGAACTAAAACTCATCTGGGAGAAAGACAGGTCCAAGCCAGCCCGGCAGACTCATGTCAGAGCTAAAAGTATTACCCAGGCTCCTTGGCCTCAGCATATAAACACCCACCCTTCAGAAGCAGATGCACCACAGCAACCACGCTGTGGTGATGCACGGGACGACTACAAAAAAGCTGCAAGTGTGTGTGTGCCTACATCCACTGACACATATGTATACTCACACACATGTATATTTCTGTGTCAAGTCAGTATATACATGCAGGCACAAAACAGATGGATATCAACTTTCCTTCAAGAAATGATAGCAATTTGAGATGCCTACCCTGAGATTCATGCAAGGGGCCTGAGTTTCAGATTGTGCTGAGTACCCAGCCCAGGTAGTGCCTTACAAAGGGAATTATGTCCTGGTGAGAGCACCTCAAGCAGGGCAGTCTCATATTTGTGCTCCAAGAGTCCCTTTGGAAAATCCCAGGAAAATCTACA